GAAGCCTAATTAGGCATTCTGCATGATTTAGTTACAGGTTGATTTGGTACAATAAATCCTTTTGATGAGAATTTTGACAGTTATGAAATGTTTAGAAGCATCATAATTTGGAATATATTGGAATGCTAATGGTATTCTGAAATTGGAACTGTCAATTTTTATTGGATATGAATTGTATTCAATTGTTTAATGGGCTTTGAGACTAACAAATAACTGCAGGGCTCATGTGAACTGTTTAAAGTTGTTAAGTTGACTCCATTTTAGAAGTAAAGATATATGTAACATGTAGAAAAATGCTTGCATTATTTTTTAGATGAAATGTCAACCATGATTGAGACATGTACATATGTACAGTATGTATGTGCAGAAAGCCCTAAAAACTAAAAAAAAAATCTTCAAGGCATCTTAGTATTTTGTAATAAAATGAGCAGCAAAGAAGAACAAAAAGAGAAGATAAATTGTTTGGTAGATGGGCATTTCTATATTATAACAAAAATATAGCAATATACATTGTACTAGATGTAGATGCCAGCAAGCATGATGTAGTTAGAAAAAATAAATAATTTCAATGCAGAGCTTCGATGCTTTCTTTGTACCCTGTAAAGCCGGAATAAATTATTCTGACATCTTTCCAAGCTATGATTTATTCTTGATAGATAAAGTTGACATCTTCTCAGAATTATTTTATCAATAAAACTTTATAGATCAATAAAGTTCTGTGAAGATACAAATTTCATCCATGAAGAATATATCATGTTGTCACACTCAATTCATGGAAAGACGTACAGTGTGTTCCAACTTTATGGGCAACAGTGTTGATGATGATGGTATCTTTATTTATGTCATCTTCTATGTAGATTTTTGCTTGAGCTGAAATATGTAATCTCACATAATTTCATTTACCGGTACATTTATTTATTTCCATGGGAAAATAAAAAATTATATTATATAATCTTCAAAATATACACATATATACTGGGTAATCAGATTGCCATTTGATGTGCAGTGCTATAGCAGGCAATCTCTATGCACAGATGAAGTCGCTGCCCACAGGAAGGCCAGTACTGCCATTGACACTACGCAGCAGTTACAGCCTTGCAGGCAGCGGACAAAATCTGCAAATCAAGTCAGGAGGAATATGATTTAATAAAATTGTATGCTAGGAACCAAAAAGGCGTAATTCCTAAAACACATGAGTTAACGCCCTTCTGGCTTCAAACAAGCGCAATGAAGGTACATGTACATGCGAGCTGGTGTGAGGCACACAGCGCACGCTACAAGGTATGTGTTGCTCTACATAAGTAAAAAAAAAAATATGCAGAAGATGACTGTTCACTAATAAGTCTTTCCTGGTACGACACAACATGTGCATTAATGCACAAATGTGCTTTGACGATGTCACGTGCCACTGCTGAACGACCTTCATCTATGAGTATTTAAATGTGCCTTGAATAAGATAAGGTGCAAGAAATTGAGGACTGAATATAAAACCCGAAGCCTTGTTGCGTAAAAGCTGGTTATGGTATTTTTTGTCGACCGCAGTTTGTGATATGACACAGTCAGTCAGAACTCTTTACCATTAGAAATCAATTAGTGTTTGTTTGGGACGTAAGCCTACATAATACTCATACATTTTACATGAATGAGTCACCCATGTTTAATACACTCATATCTAGAGTCCACTATTACAAAAATGTTCTAGGGTAATTCCATCATAATGTCTTTAGATTTCCTGTCGCCTGTTTGCTACAGACTACAAATTTCTCTTGGCAACCATCAGAAGTCTGAGGTTTATCTGACCTGGCAGCCACTTGTGCATGTAAAAAATATGCGTATGGTGATTGTGATTAGGTTATAAACGCTTGTTCACATTAGATGTGGTAGACTGGTGGTGGTGGTTTGCCAAAATGTTTTTTTAATGACTTGAGCTTTATAATGCGTTCACCTTTCTCTATCTTGTAACATAAAGATACTGCTAGTGAGTACATGTAGGACTTTTGTTCTCACCCGACTCCTATAGAAACATTTTCCTACATCGTGTATGAACAAGCCTTAAGGAGAAAACATTTAGAACAGCTAAATGTCGGTGTTTTCAGGTTAGGAGCATTGTTTACATGAAGTTGATGCATTCATAAAATGTAGGCCTAGAATCTAGGCCTGTTCCTAAGAAGAATGCTTAGGTCTTAGGACACCTTGAACTGACAGAATATCAATTGAAGAAGTGCTCAATAAGGAATGTGTTGATAGATCCCTCCTTAACATCATAAAGAGAAGACATCTTCAGTTTGTTTAATAGGCATATCATGAGAAGAGAAAGGTACAGAAAACAGGATACTGACAGGAAAAATGAGGGAAAGAGAAGCAGAGGGAGACAGGGCATCAAATACATGGATAAGTTCATTGGGCTGACTGGTAACAGAAGCATTGTCGCAATACAAAGAACCATAGCTAGAAGTATATGGAAAGCCTTGATCGCCAATGTCTGGAACATACAAGGCACCTAGCAAGCAAGCCAGCTAAATCTAGGCCTAGGCGTATTCACTCTAAATCAGAGACGGGGAAAGTAGCAGAATTCTTCCAAGAAGAAAATCAAAAATCCCTAATCAAGTTATTAATAAATCCAATTGTTGTCAAGACGAATAATCAATGCAAGCTCCTACCCTGGAAAAGTGGGACATCTCAATTACAGTATGATAGGAATGAGTCACGTCTGATGAATATTCTACAGGTCTAGTTACCATTTACAGTTTGATGATATCAGATGTGATTTGGGTGCTGGATTATGCAGTCTAGACATGTCATGGAATACACCCCAGTTCACATTTAAAGAATAATCCGTTACATGGTTTTAAATAATTCAAATGGGTTTCTCTTTATATCTCATATGTACATGAAGGAGTGATGTTTTTAAAATTCCATAAATGTAATATTGAATAAATATGCATTTATTTTGATACAGATATGAAATGATGTATGAAGTAGTGGAATTTCTAGAGCCGTATATGGATATTAGGTGATACATATGTTTGCCTTGTAGTATAGAGGGAATGAAAAATAAATCATTTTTATGTTAACATGCTTGTGAGAAGAAAAAAATTAACACAATTCTAATCTAGTGCATCAAAGACAGAAATAGATTATGCATTAGTCAATAGTCCGGCATGTTTGTGATAGATAGGACATGCTAATTTAAGAAAACTCATGGTGTGGGTGTGAAGATAATGATATATAATGCCCAACAGAGAAGCATTAAATAGCAATGATGTTTATTCTGATTACATACATAATTTGTTGATTAATGACAGGTATGCTTAATGGGTTTCTTAATGGTACATTTATAAGGAAGTATTTTGCTATATAAAGCAAGAATTACATTTTTTATTAAAAGGACTTTCTTGGCGTGTGGTCTGTGACTGAATTATATATAGAGAGAGAGAAGAAGCCAAATGATATCACTTCAAAATCTCCCCCTTTCCCCTCCCCGCAAGAAAAAAAAAAGATGCATGCAATATTTTATGGTCCTATTGACACTTCTTGAGGGTTATAGATTCTTAATGGAAAAGAGGAGTATTGGAAAAGAGCATTTTTGTCCCCCTGTTCAGCGACTGGCATGCTATCTTCTTTTCCTCTGCCTTTTCACTGATTGACTCAAACCAAGGACCTCGGCTAATTTAGCCTCAATTTACCTGATTGCCTTGTCTCGGTAGACTAGCTTTTCATAGCATTGAAATGAGGCCAAGGGGTTCAGGGGTTCAGGGGTTCACATTTTTTATGAAAAGCATGTTTTTCATACGCTCTGTAGATAATCACAATATTCAAAGGGGATTAACGCAGTTCGCCACTGTGGTGTTTGTCCATTTTAATCCCTCTAAAATAGAGAATACTGATGATCACAAAACAAATCTTATCGCAGCTTATGGAAGTGCACAGAGCTCATGCATCTTAGATTTGCAATGTTGTCCAGGCAAACAACATTTGAAACCATATGGCAGTATTTCATCCTTTTGTGCATTACATTCACCAACATGTCCAAGACTGTACCATGATCATTGTTGAACCATGAAGACTAGTTCTGTTTACACTGTTACCATCCATTTAATTGTCATTTTGTTCTATAGGAAATTAGGAATAGATTAGTCATTGCACCAGATACCATCTGCGGCTTCAAGATGTTGTAACATGTATCTGTGAATGCATCGTCTTATGGTCACCTACCACCTTAAAGCTGTGTCCTTTATTATTCGGAATTAGCTTCCTCCAGAGAGCACAAAAGGTTACCATTCTGTGTTTTAATGTGTTTTTTTTAAGAAAAACAAGAACTCATTCAGTTCATGACAACTCTAATCAATCATGTTACCTTTTTCATACGTCATAGTCTTTATCCTTTGCGCCGTTATCATATGAAGATAATTTTTAAAAGTCTGTTGTTACAACCTTAAAAAGTACTTTGACCCTGATGTACTTGACTTCACTGGCATAGGTCCAGAAACCAAGTAAGGAGTAAACACCAGAATATCATGATCATTGAGTTTTCATTCTGTTGCACACCCTAGTTATTCAAGCGTTATTTCATATTTTTGTGTATTGTATTTACATTAGTTTGTGTAATTTGATTAAATTGATTTTCTTGGTTAAGTTCTTCATTTTTGATGACTAATGCCTTACAAATGCAGGTACAATGTACATTGTATATATATACATGTAGAGTTAAAAATTCATCTAAGGTAGATATGAAAGTCATATCTTCCATAAAGTTGGAATTTCTAAGAAGAAATTAAGTTGATACTTTTCACTGTTTATGCCATAGTTGTAAATGATGAGCCGTTGAATTTCGTTTAGTGAAGATTTCATCAATGCAGATGCTTTCATTAGTGTGATTAAGATTTTTTTAAATTTTTTTTTTTAAATCATCATGTATTTTTAGTGATATCATAAGAGATACTCCCTCCCAACACAATGTCTTTGTCTTTTTCTACCCTCTGACCTTTGACCTTTCCAAGATGACAAAGACATGGATCGGGTGTTCACCCTCCCAACCACCACCTTCATCGGTGGCGACAAGCAGGCCCTGCCTCTCCGGGAGATCATCGAACGAATGGAGGTAAGTTGAAACAGAAGTAAGAGTAGTAGGGTTTTTATACCTCAGTCATACCAAGACCGATGCCAGACTGACTACAGACCAAATACCATTACCGCGAAAGGTAACAAATTGGGATGCAGTCTGGTTGCCGATGTGACTGTGGTATAAGCTTGCATTTGAAAATTTGATGTCAATTTTTTTGCTACTGTACTCCGAATACTGGTAAGGTTAATCTTCATAAAAATACTTGAAATGGGATTAAGGATTTACTTTTCAAAAGGCAGTAGCTACACCTCATAAGCTCAGTCATAAACTGTATTGTAGCAAGTACATAAATCTTCTGTCATTACAAATATTAGATGCCTACTATATTGATGGCCTATAAAAGGCTTCACACACTCATACATGGAGGTGTACCACAGGGATCATTACACTGACCTATACTGTTCCATTCACAAACCTGTTCACTTATGTCCAACTTCATGCAGAATGTTTACTGCCGCAGCATTGGTGTAGAGTACATGTTCATCAACGACAGGGAGAAGTGTGACTGGATCAGGCAGCAGTTTGAGAAGCCAGGAGCCATGCAGCTCTCCAAGATGGACAAGCGACTCATCCTGGAGCGTCTCATCCGCTCCACCAGGTACGTATGGCTCCGCCCATCTCAGCGGGGTCCGTTGAGAGTTTGAGAAGGGTACCATCCATGTCACACCCGTGTATCAATTGGCATGCTATGCTTAATGATAAACTTGAGTTCTGGGGGGGGGGGGAGGGGGAAGGAAATGAATTCTCACAGAATCAAACGAAACTTACACTGAATGTTCAAGATTACAAAAAGATGTCATTTGCCAAACAATTTTGGTAGAAAATGTTTACTGGCTGAGTAATGAGCATAGAAAGAGAAGGAAATCAAGGTTAGTATCCCCAACACCATTTGTGTAGTCCCATATACATCTCTCTGTGTACAGTGTTTGTTACTTTACCAAGACTGGGCCAAATTTATTATGATTTTGATGACTCCAGAACCTTGCAGTACACACCAATATTTACCTGCTACATGATCAACTTTTTCTGATCCATTCTACACCTTTTCTTTCACAATGCAATCTCATGACCAGAACTCAACTTTATCTTTAATGACCTAAATCAATGATGAATTAATGAATCTCAAAAAGCTTTTCTCTTAATATTAAAAATCTTAGAGATTATCTAATTCTTCATGTATGTATTCCAAAATATATAAATTTGATTGTTTGATAGTTCTTTTGTTTTCTGAAAACAGTCTTTAGATTATGTTAGTATGGTAGTTACTTCTCGGGGTGAGTCTCAAATAGTGTTACATGCTTGTTTGCTCGCTCATATGTACAAAATACCCGCAACATTTTAATGAAATTATCCAATGGTAAATGAATACATCCTAATTTCGAAGCATTTTGAATGAAACTAGACCAAATGGCAAAATGTCAAAGGAAAAATTATCAAAAATATAATTTTATTATTGGGTATATTTTATACTTCCAAGTTACATGTGGTCTTTGGTTAGTGATAATAGCATTGTAACTTTGATGTTGTGTGTGATTTACCTCATTATGATGATTGAAGTCAAAGACTGAGGGGACTTGTCCTGAGTTCCATGGCATGATTCGATTCCATTCAGTATTAATTCAATTCCATAGTCCTTAACAGTTACATCAAAATACTATTTATACATAATTATTATTAAAATAGTAAAATATTGACAGTAAAAAAAATAGGAATTTGGTTGATGTACATGTATAAAAACCCTAGGGGGTTTATCTGGACAGCCACCATAAACAGTAAAACTAATAAAAGAATCATACAAAATGATATATGATACATGAATACACAATAACAAAAACAACAACAAACAAAACCAAAACAAAACGAAGTTGAACATAAGCAAAAACAAGAATATAGACCGCACAACCCTAAGATAATATTATAATTGATGTAATTCTTGTTCTCTTGACCCCTTCCTGTATTTCAGGTTTGAAGAGTTTCTGGCTCGTAAGTGGTCTGCCGAGAAGCGTTTCGGCCTAGAGGGGTGCGAGGTACTCATCCCAGCTCTGAAATCAATCATCGACGAGTGCAGCGCCAAAGGTGTGGAGAGCTTCATCCTTGGCATGCCCCACCGGTAGGTAGACAGGAATAAGTGGTAATAGGAAGGGGTGGCAGAGGGGAGAGAGGGGTACCAGACGTGCCCCAAAGGGCGTGGATGGGGTAGGAAGACATTGTGGAGAGGGGTACCAGACATGCCCCATGGTAATTGGAAGAGTGGTAAAAGGGACAGAACGAGGGGTGGGAGTAATGAGACATGCCCCACCGGTAAGTAATCGGGAGTGGTAGAAGTGGAAAGGAGGGGATGGAGGGGTACTAGACATGCCTCATGTAATTGGGAGGGTGGTAAAAGTGGCAGAAAGAGGGATGGGGGGGGGGGGGATATGAGACATGCCCAACTAGTAAGTACTTGGGAGTGGTAGAAGTGGAAGGAAGAGGGGATGGAGAGCTACTTGACATTCCTCACTAGTTGGTAGCCAGAGGTGTTGAAGGAGTGGAGAGAGAAGATGGAGGGGTACCAGACTTGCCCCAAAGGGCATGGACGGGGTAGGAAGATATGGTGGAGGGAAACAGACATGCCCCATTGTAGTTGGAAGAGTGGTAAAAGGGACAGAAAGAGGGGTGGGGGTAATGAGACATGCCCCACCGGTAAGTAATCTGGAGTGGTAGAAGTGGAAAGAAGAGGGGATGGAGGGGTACTAGACATGCCCCATGTAATTGGGAGGGTGGTAAAAGTGGCAGAAAGAGGGATGGGGGGGGGGGGAGATATGAGACATGCCCAACCAGTAAGTACTTGGGAGTGGTAGAAGTGGAAGGAACAGGGAATGGAGAGCTACTTGACATTCCTCACTAGTTGGTAGCCAGAGGTGTTGAAGGAGTGGAGAGAGAAGATGGAGGGGTACCAGAGTTGCCCCAAAGGGCATGGACGGGGTAGGAAGATATGGTGGAGGGAAACAGACGTGCCCCATTGTAGTTGGAAGAGTGGTAAAAGGGACAGAAAGAGGGGTGGGGGTATGAGACATGCCCCTCTGGTAATGTAACAGAAGTGGTTGAAGTGGAAGGAAGAGAGGACTGATGGGTACCAGACATGCCCTGACAGTGGAGGAAGGGATAGGAAGAGGGAGTAGAGGGGTACTTGACATTCTTCACAGGCAGGTGGCCAGAGGAGGGGATGGAATGGTACCAGCCATGCCCAATCAGTAGGCAGACAGGGGTAAGAGGTAGGAAGATTGATAGAGGACAGTTTGGCATTCCCCACCGGTAGGCAGATGGTTGTGGTTAAAAGAAGTAGGGAAGATGAATGTTTAAAATTACAAATAAATGACATGTGCCCAACGATTTTGGCAGAAAATGTATAGGGACTGAGTAATGAGCATAGAAAGATAAGGGAATCAAGGTAAGTAGGCCCGACACTGTGCTTAAAATGGGTCACTATGTGCAATTAAGAGTTGGTTTTTATTGAAGATGATTTTCAGCAAGTTTTTGTGAGGTTGTTTTTACTTTACTAGTTCAAACAATCAATCTACTGCAGGATAAACAATCCAGAATGAATTATACCAGAGCTCAAGATTAGCTTTAATGGGATATCATATGTAAACAAAATAACAGGGTTCCATCGTTTACATTAAGGGTGCAAATGGTTAACTGTAGTGCATAGCTTATGTTAAGGTCATTGATTTGTTTTTCATGACGTGTCGGGTTGAAATAAGGCCAAATTTATAATCAGTTATCTTCAATTAGCCTTCAGTGTAAGATATAAGATTGTGTTTTTATCTTGGATGTTTTTCATTATGAATGGAACCTTATCTGTGCATTGTAAGTTTGGAAATACTCCAAAATAACAACCCGTAAATATATAAACAACAAAAGTTGAACTACAAAAATAAAAAACTACGAAGATTGATTTGTTTTTCATGACGTGTCGTGTTAAAATAAGGCCAAATTTAGAATCAGTCATCTTCAATTAGCCTTCAGTGCAAGATATAAGATTTTCTGTTTATCTCGATGTTTTTCATTATGAATGGAACCTTATCTATGCATTGTTCGTTTGGGAAATACTCCAAAACACATAAGTAACAACTCCTAAATATAAAAAACAAAAGGTGAACTTCAGATATAAAGAACTACGATGATTCATGAAAAACTAAGCAATGGGTAAAAACAAAAACGACAACAAAAATACACGATTTGGCACAAGAGACCATACAACACTTTAATTTAACACCTACCAAAATCTACAAGTGAATTCAATAGTGCTAGGTAGCATAGCATGACATAGCATGTACTGTTGACATTAAAAACATAGTATAGTAATAATGACTGCTATGAGAGACATAGTTGTTTTTATACCCTCAAGGGGAGTTTACATCGTGCTATCACCCCGAGGCGCTTTTCAAAAGACTATTGACTGGTAGGCGGGGCATGGCTAAAATCACGACTCCAATTTCGACCAATCAGTTAGCTAGATTCCTAAAGTGAGTTATATAAAATATAGTAATAATGACTGCTATGAGAGACATTGTTTTTATGGGCTCTCGGGGTGGTTACATCGTACTATGCCTCAAATATTAAAGCAGTCATTATAATTTTTATGTACCGAAAAGGGTCATAAAATACATGTGCGACTTACCAATCATGGTACCGGTAATCAGGTTTGTTTACGCTATCGAGACCTAGTCTTAATAGGGTGTCTGATCGCGCACCACTCGAGTTTGTATGCTAATATCCTTCCCATTAAGATGGTTTTATTATGATGGATTTTATCAAAATAACAATTAGTAACTAGCTGAAATAAGTTAACTTTTTGTATTTCCATATTTCTCTTTGCCTCTTCAAAACGCTGCAGTGGTCGTCTCAACGTGTTGGCTAATGTCGCCCGTAAGCCTCTGGAGCAGATCTTCTGCCATTTTGACTCCAGACTAGAAGCTGCCGACGAGGTGTGTATTCTGTTGTTGTTTGAAGGATTCAGTGATTCGAACAGGGATCATGTAAAAGCAAATGATATAAGAAAATGTTTCCTGTCCTTGTACTAAATGTAAAGCAGTGTACAAATTTACACTCTTACTTGTTAAGAACTAAAAATACAAAATACCACTCTTATCGTATCGTCTTTTGCATGTTTTAAAGTTGATGGGTGCAAACATTTTTTGGATTTTTTTTTTTTTTGGGGGGGGGGGATTATTTTTCTTCCAAAGAATGTTTCCATGTGTAAATAAAGTAAGATCATGAAACTATGTGTTTTCAGTCATCCATTCAGAGAACACCAATTCCCACAAAATCGCACCTTGCATAATTGCATTCCCTAATTTGTTTATTGCTACCCAGTGTTACATCTGTTGTTATGGAATAGCAAGTGTGATGAACTATCAGTATTGTTGTGTTGTGAATCACTTACCGGTGATACACAGAAATGTTTGTGCTCTTGATTTGTCAAAATGGGAAGAGCCTATCCAAACTTCAAAATGTTACTCCCCTGAATATTGCTTATAGAAACACCTTGCAATTTACCATGGAGAAGAAAAAATAACAATACAAAAATTATAAAAAATTAAATATTTAAAAAAAATCAACAAACAAACAAAATGAACAAAAAATAAATAAAAGTTTAACTTTGCATTGTGACACTATGTACTCCATTCTCTCTTTCAGGGTTCCGGAGATGTCAAGTACCATCTTGGTATGTCCAACTCACGTCATAACCACATCAGCAAGCGCAACATCAACCTGGCTCTGGTGGCTAATCCATCCCATCTGGAGGCCGTCGATCCCGTCGTCCAGGGCAAGACCAGGGCGGAGCAGTACTACCGGGGCGATACCGAGGGTGACCAGGTAAGGAGAGGAACATCAGAGGGGTACTAGAGGGGGCGTGGTTCTGTATCAGGGTGCTAGTTAGCAGGATGTTGGCTTGCTGATGTACTAAACTAAGATTGTTCCATGGGAGGGGAAGATTAAACTGGGACCCATTTCACGAAGCCTTCTTTCAATGACAAATGACAATATTCAGTAATAAATCTGCTGATAACCAATCAGAAGCAAGGATTTCACTAGCTTAAAACAAAAACTGTCATTTGTCACTGATGACCAGTTTTGTGTAATCGGGCCCTGATGAGGCTCTATACAGAGATGCCACTTGCTATGTATATCCAGGATACCTGAGCTGCTTCTGTCCATTATTTGGAAGAGTAAAATAGATTAAAGCCTCTCTAAAGTGTTGGGAGTCCAAAAGATTTGATGGCGAAAATCTACTTCAATTATACAAAGAAGTGGAAGAGGATGTCATTTAACACCAACCTCTGCAAAGATTTCCAGAATAAATGTGTTTGAAGACCAATATTGATGAAAGAAAACAAAATATGGATTTTCTGCGTACAACACAAAACCCAAGTTTTGTATTCTTTCATCAATATTCGTTTATTTGAGATTTAGCGAATTTGGGGCTCTCAACATTTTAGAGGAGATTTCAGATGAATAAATGGGTGAATTCGATTCTTGTTTGATATTGAGCTAACATAGGATTGTACTGTTTTTTTGCAACATCAGTGGAGGACAATTTCCGAAGATGAAGCTTTGGCTTTCGAACCTCGGAATCTTCAATGTTTTATCATTTTATGATTTAGGTGATGAGTATCTTGATGCATGGTGATGCTGCATTCGCTGGCCAGGGGATTGTCTACGAGACCTTCCATTTGTCCGATCTCCCAGAGTACTCCACTCACGGAACCATTCATGTTGTCATCAACAACCAGGTATGGAGATTGACTTTTTGTTAATGCCCCCTTCACATACAATGCATTAACGTGCCTTAAAGGGGAAGTCCACCCTGATATTAAGTTGGTTTTAATAGAAGGAAAATCCTAAAAATGGACCGTTTGTATTCTTTTATGTTGATTGAGAAGTCCTGAAAGGGACTGAGAATTGATAAAGACTCGACACTTCAAACAGGTTGACTGTCCGTTGTCTAAGTTATCTTCGGCATGCAAACCTGTACTTTCAAGTAACATGATTAATTTGATTTAAAAAGTAGTGTGCCTTCAAAAACAAATATATGTTTTTGCTACAAAGTACATTCTCACTTATTGCTCATTGCTCAGTATCCATTTTTCACTTTCAAATATTTTTTAGATTGGATTCACCACCGATCCTCGTTTCTCACGCTCCTCCCCGTACTGTACCGACGTGGCCCGTGTTGTCAACGCACCCATCTTCCATGTCAACGCAGATGACCCGGAAGCAGTCAATCACGTGTGCCAGGTCGCCTCCAAGTGGCGCTGCAGATACAAGAGCGATGTGGTCATCGACTTGGTAAGACTTGTCGCTCGTGTACTAGCATTTTTCTACTAAACAATGAAATCTTTGTATCGTTACTGGCTCAGAGATTGACTGCTACTTTTTATGTACGTCATACAAAATATTTGCAGTTGTAACTTCTCACTTCTTTTGAAATTTGACCAGTAAATTTTCTTTGCCCTTTGCCGGGCTCGCAACAATGTTTATAACTGACAATGAAATATGAACAGGTGTCGTGGTCTAGTGGATAAGGTTTGCGGTTTAAGTACCGCGTCAGCACTAATGTCCTTTGGCAAGACATTAATCTACATTTGTCACTCTCCACCCAGGTGTTGTAAATGGGTACCTGGCAGGAATTTTTTACTATTCTTTGAATGCATTAAGTGCCTTAGGGCAGCTGGGCTAAAACCAGAGTAAAAATAGTACTTTGTAGGTGCCTTGGGCATCCTCTGGTATGGATATGCGTGCAAAATAAATGTGGCTCTTACTATTATTTGAAAGAGCTATTTTTTGTTACCTTCTGTTGTAGGTGTGCTATCGTCGCAACGGTCACAACGAGATGGACGAGCCGCTCTTCACCCAGCCTCTCATGTACAAGAAGATCCGTGGTCATAGACCGGTCCTCAAGCAATACGCTGAACAGAAGATCCAAGAAGGCATCATGACGGAGCAGGAGTTTGAGGTAAGTCACGTTGAGAATTTTTTAGGAGTATTATGTTTAGAGAAAATATAACTCTGCAAAGGCTCAAAATATACTAAGAAGTTTATTTTCCCCTAAATCAATAGTGTTCCAGGTGATCTAACTTTTCCTTGCCATTGTCAATTGCAAGGGTTAATTATATTAGTTTTATCAGTATCTGAACTCTTGAAATATTAAATCTATCAGGTGGTAGTTCTAGATGCAAGTCCCATGTACACATATCCATGTAGTTTCTGCACACAAGGTTTCTTCAACTTGTGACATTTATGTACTTTGGGGGTCCTAAATTCTGTTGGGTACTGATGGAATTCATCTTTGTATTAAATACCAGAAAAGAAGATTGCCTTGATTTTCTGAAAACTGATATCTTTTACTGTCATGAACGTATGCTAATTGTCATAACAAATCTAAATTAGAACATGCTGTCGGTTAATCTGCATGTGTATGCATACAGTTATGGAGATTCTGTGCAAGCACCAGTAATGAGTGTTTAATCTGCACAATTTATATCTTCTATGACTCTTTAACAAATTTTTACGAACATAAGAGATAACATGGTTTTCAGAATATATCTGCACATTTGTAATATTTCTTTCTTAAAACCTGCATCTTTCCTTTCTTTATGTTTGAACAGGAGGAGCAAGATGGATATGATAAGATCTGTGAGGATGCATACCAGAATGCTAAGAAGGTCACAGAGATCAGGAATGCTGATTGGTTGGATTCACCTTGGCACGGTAGGTCATGTGACAGGGGAGCTCGGCTAAAGCTGGGGTAGTAGTAGTACAGCTCTTAGGAACATTTATACTAAGTGCTTTATAAAGTGTTGCTGATATTATCATCATGCTTCAGACAAAAAGATGGCTAAGTGTTTGAATGAAGCAGAGCTTTAATTTTCTAATGAGAGCCATATATTGTTCATCAAGGGCTAGAAATATGGCAAAGTGTATGAACTTAGCATGGCTTCTGTGGAGAAAATAGTATTGTCGGCTGAGCACCAGGGCCCTGTTTCATGAAACTCATTATCTATAACAAATTTCTATGACAAATTTGCTCTCAGCCAATCAGATGCGGCCATGATTTCAGTAGCTTATAACAGTAGCTTGTAACTTGTTATTGATATCAAGTTTTATGAAACAGGGACCTGAAGTTATGAAAACTCTATGAATGGAGCAAAGCTTCCCAGTAGAAAATGTTGTGATATGGTCCACAACAATTTTGGGAAGTGTTCATTATTTTATTAGTAGGTTTTTCTTGGTAGCAGCGAAGACAGAAAAAAATTTAATTACACATTTTCTGAGCTTGAGATGTTTTTAATGAGAATTTTCTATTAGTTCTTGGACATTTGCTTTTGTACCATTACATACTACCTTGATTTGATACTTGACTTTAAAAATTATCTAGTCGAGAGAGGTAACACGAGTATATAAAGCGTTGGGATCTCTTTTTTTTTGCAATGCTGGAAATCGGTTAAGGAGCTCTTAAGCAGTGTTCCACTCTGTGTGGAAACCAGCATTGATAATTCACTAACTACACTAAAACAAGACGTCAGAGTATGTGTTGAATATGTTCTTACCTGTCTCTTTGACCTTTGACCTAGGTTTCTTCAACAAGGAGATCCCTCTTCAGTACCCATCTACTGGTATTGATGAAGCAACCCTGACTCACATCGGAGAGACGTTCAGCACCAACCCAGAGGATCTCACTCTTCATGGAGGTTCGTTAACTACATTTACTATATTAATCAAAGCTGCCCCTTTGCTGAGAAAGTAAATTAATGAAGTCCACTGTGTATAATAAGATATTCATGTATACTACTCTTGGTTAGATTATTATTTATCTTAATGTGTACAATTTTTAGGACCCTGTCAGAAGTGAAAAAATGAAATAGAAGAAGTATATATCAACTGGAGGCTTATATGCCATTGATTACAATGATATTAATTATTTGCCATTTTAGTGCCCGTCTGAAGAGAAATGGCTCTCTGAAAACTTGAAATCTTAAGCTTTAAAAATCTGAAGTTGGCAACCTAAAAACTAGCTATTGACTTTATGACAGCATCTTATGTGGATTAGCATATTCACAGTGGCTTTTCATTAATTAAGCGCGGCTCATCGCCTCAACTATAAAGGCAAGCCGATAGTGTCCACATGTTATGTTGGCACTGTATCTGCAGCAAATTTGACCCATGTTGACCCATATTTGAAGGGGTGCGGAAAATGATGTTTTGATTTGCCTTTGTGCATGAATAAAAAGGGAAAATATTGTTATTACTTTATATTTGTATTGTACATTTATTCAGCTTCCCATTGGTATAAATATCTATTTTTCATTGGTAAAGGGTCTTTAAAATTTGATAGGAATGGAATTAATTCTTGATTTGCTTTTAACATGAGTGCTGGTGAAAGCCATTTTTACAGTATCTCTATATCTGGTTCGATCCCCGACATGGCACTAATGTCCTTTGATAAGGCATTAATCTTCATGTGCCACACTCGACCCAGGTGAGATAAATGGGTACTAGGCAGGATTGAATTCCTTGAAATGCTGGAGCGCTGTAATGGCAGCTACGCTAAAGCCGGGGTAATAATTAGTGCGCCTCAAAATAGAATTTTTAGATAGACGGCGCTATAGATATGCCTATTGTCATTATTACTATCATTATCTGTACCCAGGTCTAAAGCGTGTCCTGCGTAGTCGCATGGACATGGTCAAGAACCGCACCATAGACTGGGCTCTGGGGGAGGCTCTCGCCTTCGGCTCGCTGCTCAAGGAGGGTATCCACGTCAGACTCAGCGGACAGGACGTAGAGAGGGGAACGTTCAGGTTAGTTACCATCAGGGAAAAAATAAATGGGGGTTCGGGGCAAATTTGCCCCTGAAATGCCCAAAAGAGCCCCCGAAAGTCATGAAAGGGCCACAACAAATTTGCATAGAGTGTTATTTTCATGCAAGCAAGCTTGAAAAGTAGCCCCTGAAATTTGTTTAAATATTTGTTTCCCCCTGGTTAGCATGGTGTTTGTGCTAAAGAATAAGCTATCAGACTCTGGACCATATGTGACCCGGCACCACAAAACCAACAAAAAGTCGCAACCAGCGATTCTCCGTAATCAGCTAAAATGTCAATTTAGGTGAAAAAAATAGATTTTTGTTTTTTTGCATTTTCTGAAAGAGTGGTCTTTTCTGTACCTAGTATCAAAATTTGGAAGTCTAAAACATAGTAGAAGATGTGTTTTAAACGGTTTTTCTAGACCAGTTTTTTTTCGCACAGCCTTCGGTCTCTTCCAAAATTTGATCACTTTTCCCGAGCGAAATTATCGTAGTCCGGAAATGGTCGGTCGTTGCTAACGGGTCGTGCTACGAGGGCTGTGATTGGTCCGTTATAGCAATCAGTGCGGCGCGCCATTTTGTTTGTATCCGCTTTCACATCCGAGTTCCAGATTTGCGTTCGTCTTATATTCTCCGTTAACGACTTCGAGTAGCTTGATTGTACATCACATATCCATAATTTGTTGATCAAGAGTAAGAACATTATTATATTTTATACATTTGAGAGTGACAAGTTGCGAAAAAGTCTACAACGTCGTTACAATGCCAGGTTTTGTACGTGAGCAGAGCCGTGGGATGGTACCGGGGTGCACCAACGCAGATGCCCGGGTAGCTCGGGCGGTCAACGAGCTTCCATTAATTATCATCAGGATGGCTACTGGAAATGAAAGAGCAAGTCATAGTAAAAATACTTTGAACCTCCTGTGAGAAAGAAAACAGTATGGGAATTAAGTATAAAGCAAGTTCATAATGTGGTTACAAATAATTGCCCAGATGTATACAAAACAAGATAGGTGACAAGCAGTGTTATGTAAGGGGGAACAAAAAGACTCCGGGTCCACCATGAATAGGCATTGTCTAGTGCAGGTGTCTCGGCACTATGTTGCAGTTCACTTAATCTGTCCAATTACAACTCTATACATTTACAAAATAATAACTTTTGAAAGACTTAAGTCCACACATTGAAACCTCAGAAACATAATGAACAGACTATGTTTGACCATCAGGCCAAATTTCAGCCTAATCTGAAAATCTCTTCATAGTGGTTGCTATGGCCTTTTGATTCACCCTTCTATTGATTTCCCTGTGGTTTGCTTGCTCCGCATGCTTGAATAGCCCCAAACTTTAAAGCTCTCTTTCTCACAATTTAATACCAGTAACCTCCCTCACCAGCTCTTTTCATTCACTAAATTGAAAGGGTTAGGAAGCTTCAATTTGGACAAGAAATATACCATTTTAATGAGGAGAACTTCTTCTTTCATAATCAGATGAAATCAGGAAAATAATTTTTTGCGACTTTTTGGTGGTTTTGTGGTGCTGGGTCACATATGGTACTGGGTTTGGATCCCTGCCATGGCACAATTGTCCTTTTTCAAGACATCTAGAATTTTCACTTTTAAAACAGGTTAAGTAAATGGGTGCCCGGTAGAATAAAATACCCCTTGAGTGCTTGATTGCTAATGGTAGCTCAGCTAATGCTTGGGTAATGATTTTATTCAGCACTTTGTATCTTCGGGAAAAATAAATCCAGCCACTTATGAAAACAATAATTGATGTTTTTGGCTTCCTCTTATATCCATGGTGTAATGTGCCTTAAAGTTTCTACTGCTAAAAGATGCTTGTATCTGGATCATTCATGTTACCAATACAATTTTCATCCTTTCCTGACAGGATTTATTTTGAGGGCTAAATTGATCACATGTTGTTCTTCAAATTGGCAACAAACATTTGTCTGTATGACTACATTGTTAAATGAAGTGTATTGTCTCTGAAAATCATAAACATAGGCAAGAATGTTGAAAAATTAAAAAAAATTATAAGAGTTTGGTTTTAAAAAAAGAAAAGATTTTGAATCTCACTATATGTTGCCGATTTAAGCATTTAAAGCTTCTTTTCTAGTCATATATGAATTCAGTGTTTGCAGACGTTTTTGAACTTTCTGCTCATGAATCTGGCATAATGTTTAGGGCTGTGAATCAAAAGTTTGGACCAAACAAAATGTAAAATGTTTGTCGTGATAGGGTTTATATATCCTTTGTTTCTCTTCTAGTGAACCCTGTCTTCATGTGCACATGTACAAGACAATTAACACTCTCATCCTTTCTCTCCCTCTCTGCGCAGCCATCGTCATCACATTCTGCACGATCAGAATGTGGACAAGAAGCGCCACTACCCCCTCAACAGTCTCTACCCGGACCAGGCCAACTACACCGTCTGTAACAGCTCACTCTCAGAGTTTGGGGTTCTTGGTAAGATTTATTTTTGAAAACTATTTAGTTTTCGGAAGTTGAATTGTTCACAATTAAAAACTATAATGTAACAAGGGTTCTGATCAGTTGCTAATTTTGTTCAAGCCCATTACCCTGTCTATTAAAGCTCTCTCTCTCTCACTCTCTCTCTCTCTCTCTCTCTCAGAGTTTGGTGTACATTGTAAGATTTGTTATAAAAAGCACCTATGAAAATTGAATTCCTTCTTTATTTCTTATATTATTCTTTATTTCTATTTTTTATTGTAATGAAGATAAAAAGGAATTATATTTATTTTATCTTATTTTAACAATTTTAAGATGCTTGAATGCAAGTCTTAAGAATTTCAGGCTGTCGTTATTCTTTTATCTTTCATTGTGTTGAAACATGAAACTTTGAGCTCTTTGACAGTAATACCAGTTTTCACTCTATATCTCACTGTCAGGGTCTGTCGCCTCTCTGTTTCAGGCTTTTACATGCTTCACATTGTACAGTATGTAACAACACGAATGGAGGTTCAGGCTAAATGAGTAAATTTATCTTGTATGTCAGTCTGTGAGAGTGGCACAATTTTTGATTTTTCAGATGTAATGTCATATTCAGTTGACTTAAAATTAATCCTTTTAAACTGACTCCTTCTTTTAATCAGGTTTTGAGCTTGGTTTCTCCATCACCAACCCACGAGCCCTGGTCGTTTGGGAGGCCCAGTTTGGAGACTTCCACAACACTGCCCAGTGTATCGTAGACCAGTTCATCGCAACAGGACAGGCCAAGTGGTACAGGCAGAGTGGTCTGGTCATGCTCCTGCCTCATGGATATGAGGGCATGGTAAGTGTTGGTGGAGGTTCGTGGTGGGGATGTTGGTGGTGGTGGTGATAATGATATTGATACTGATGATGATAGTGATGATGATGATAGTGATGGTGATATGGTGATGATGGAACAGGCAGAGTGGTCTGGTCATGCTCTTACCACATTGATACAAGGGCATGGTGAGTGTTGGTGGTGATGATGGTAATGGTGATGGTTGTTGTGTTGTTGTTGGTGATGATGGTGGTGGTGGTTGTGATGGTGATGGTACAGGCAGAGCGGTCTGGCTATGCTCCTGCCCCATGGATACGAGGGCATGGTAAATGTTAGTGGTGATGATGATGGTGGTGATGATGGTGGTACAGGAAAACCGGATTGATTGTGCTCTTACCACATAGATATGAGGGCATGGTGACTGCCGTTAGTGATGATGGTGATGATGATAGTGATGCTGATGATGATTATGGTGGTGATGGTACAGTCAAAGTGGTTTGGTTATGCTCTTATCACCTAGATATGAGGGAATGATATTAAGTGAAGATGATGGGGATGATAATGTTGGTGATGATAATGATAATTGTAAGAATGATGAAGTTGATGATTTCAATGATCATGATATTTAGTTATTTCAATGACAATGTCATTGATGAAGAAAATTGTGTTGCCTGCAAAATGCAGGACACTATCTTGATGGTTGCTTGAATAAAATTAAAAAATTATAACATATTTCCTCCCAACAGGGACCTGAACACTCCAGTGCTAGACCCGAACGTTTCTTACAGATGTGCAATGAGGATGCTGATGTGATCCCAGTAAGTGCTTCTTCATCACTAAAGCCTCGTCCAGATATGACATGGCAAAACCATTTCTTTTAAATGATGACGTAAAGAGTAATATGCATCACATTTCTGTATTTATAATACAGAGCTAAGGGGATATGTACAGGACCTTTGTTGTGCGCAGTTGCCATTCATTTACATGTTTTATAAAACATGTGGCAGCTTTTATGCGGCGGTTTTATTGCATCATATCTGAACGAGCCTTAACAAGTTTTGAGGTAGAAGTCAGAATAATGTGAGAATAATCTTTCAAATCAGGGAAAATCAGGGAATTTCATTGACTCCAAAAGAGTGTAGAAATTCTCTTATCTTTTTTTCTCATGTCCAAACAGCACATCAACTGGATGATTTGCTATGGTGACTTTCTAGCGTGTAAAATGCTTTCTATAATGATCCCAGAATTTTTGAAACTCTATCATGGAAAATAGGACATTTGGTTATCATGGAATGATGAGATTCATGTTTTCAGATACATACCAGTAATGCGAAATTCTCAATATTCAAATTACAACTACCCACAGAATGCAATTAATAATTAAATTGATTTCAGAAACGTGATTCATATGAAATGGGAAATATGTAAGATATACCCTAATCTATGTATTAGAACAATATTATAAATTGTATTCCAATGTTCTTCTTGTTTCTGTAGGAGAGGAATGGTGACCTGGAGGTCAAGCAGCTCTACGACTGCAACTGGCAGATCCTGAACTGCAGCACACCGGCAAATCTCTTCCACGCCCTCAGAAGACAGATTCTTCTCCCCTTCCGCAAACCAGTAAGTCCCCATTCATGCCAAGTAATATCAGTGAAATCCTATAAGCATATGGACATTTCCACATATATATCTCATAAGAAACAGAACTACCGGTATGAGGCACATTACGCTTTAATATGTAACTTGATCTTGTCATGGCGAAACAAATTTGAGGTGATTTCTCATATTATATGGGAACGAGGCTTGAGGCTTAAAATGGTAATATTGAAACACTGAGGGTTGGAAAGCATTATTTATTATTTCTTCCTTTCTTTCTCTTGCAGCTTGTGATCTTCACACCTAAGAGTCTGCTTCGTCATCCTGATGCAAGGTCATCATTTGATGAGATGAACGAAGGTAAGATCACATTTAATCCTTCCTGAAATGCAGTTTCCTCCAGAAATTACCCCAGCAGGTTACAGCAGTTTTCATGACAATTTGACAAAATTCTACACAGGGAATATGTTTTGTTCTTGGAAAGTATTTTCATTTATTTTTGCTCTTTGTGCAACTAATATAATTGAATGTCCAGTTTTGCTTATTTTTGACATTTTGAAAGTATTATGAAAGATTTTAAATTGTCATTTCCATTTGGGTAAATGCTTAACACTTTCTAAGATAAATAATAGCTTCAATATGATCAACAGTTGGTTTGCAGAAAAGATTAACACAATTTGTTTTTTTAATTTTTCGAAAAATTCTGTGGTGCATCAGATGTGATTTCGCTAGTTTGCAGCACAGAACTTCACAAATCAAAACCACTTGTGAATTCCTAAACCTTTTAAGCAAGTGAAAGAATTCTGGTCTTTCAGTGCTGGTAACTTAAATAAAATTAATTCTGTAAAAATATGGAGAACAACAGGGATGCCAGTTTTCAGGCAATAGCCTGAATTCTCGCTACCCTAAATAGGTACGAAAATCTCGAAATTCGCGAGACGAGGTAATTTTCACTCTCTCGGGTCGTCACTGCAACTTCCGGTATAGAGTCCCATCCCAAGTCACGGCCTTCATCCACCCCCATTTTTCAGGGTTCTTACGCTTGAAATCATGAGCCCAGCACTGTGCAGCCTCACAAAAGAAAACCATCGTCACTGATGTCAAAAGACGCAAAAAACAACGAATGAAATGTTCAAATAAACGTTGAAATATTTGCGAAAAAAAAACAAGACCGAGCAGACGACATATTCGGTGCATACACGTTGTGTGGCGACGGCGTTTTACGTTTGCGCTATCGCGCCGCCTGCACAGGAAGCTGTAATGTCGAAAAGCTATCCCATAATGCAATGCGCGTTTTCAGGATTTTCCCCGGATCTCGGCAGAATCGCTATTTGGGGTAGCGAGAATTCAGGCCCTGGCAAGTTATTTTCAGTAGTTTAGGCTGTATTGTGTACAAAATTGCTCATTCTAGGTGATTTTCAGGCCCTCTGATCAATCCTAACTGGCATCTCTGAAACAAAAACAAGTGATCTAATTGAATAATTTTATTCTTTTTGTTAAAATATATCTTTTAGGTACGTTCTTCAAGAGGTTGTACCCTGATGAGGGTGCTCCGAGCCAGAATCCTGCGGGAGTCAAGAAGCTGCTCTTCTGCACCGGTAAGGTGTACTATGAGCTCCTCACCCAGAGGGAAACCAGGGGACTCACCAACGACATCGCCATCGTCAGGATTGAACAGGTGGGCTTTTGCTTTGTTTTGATTTTGTTGAAGACATTGTGTCGATTTTTCAAGAGCCACTTATATTTAGACAGGGACCTGTTTCACAAAGCCTTTTTTCAATGGCAAATGATAACAAATCAGTGACAAATCTGCTGATAACCAATCAAAGGCAAGGATTTTACTAGCTTACAAAAACTGTCATTTGTCACTGATGATAAGTTTTGTGAAATGGGGCCCAGGTTTAAACCTTGACTAGGCATGGAAGTTTGTTCACTAGTGAAAAAGGTAGATGCATTTTACATTAAGTCAGTACTGGTAATCATGTACAAACAATGAGAGTAATGATGAATAATACAGCTCTTCAGCAATCTCGCCAATTTGTTTTAATTTTTTATATTGGCTGACTCTGAGTGATGAGCATAGAAAAATAAGGAAATCCGGGTAATTTAGGCCTGACACCGTGTGCTTATTAAACACAGGTCACTATGTGCAAATGGGAGTTGTGGTTCTCATTGAAGATGATGCTCAGTAAGTTTGTGTGTGTATGTTTTTTATTTCACTGTTTAAAACAACCAATCTACTGCTGGATAAATAATCCAGAATAAATCATAGCAACTTTCTCTCAAAATATGCTTCCCATAACAGAGTTCAAGATTAGCTTTAAGAGAAATATACAAGAGCAACCTTTTCCAGTTGATGTTTTTAAAAAAATCCCATGAAAATTTGTTTTATTGCGCCACCTCATCACTATTAATACTCTTGTTTATGTTTGGACAGATTTCACCTTTCCCCTTTGACCTGGTAGCGGAGGAGGTCGAGCGCTACCCCAACGCCAAACTCCAGTGGGTACAGGAGGAGCATAAGAACCAGGGCTACTGGACCTACATCCAACCCAGGATACTCAACTCTATCGGACATGAAAGACCGCTCGGGTAAGTTCTGTTATTTCATATTACACAAATATTGATTTTTTTTGAGGGGCATGGTTAAAACTAATGCCCAAGGTGATCTCAAAACTGTACTGTGCATAGTGTAGTCTCAAGATCACAGAGGAGCTATAGTTTTAATCGTAACCTGAAAAATAAGCAGTTAATATTATTTTTATATGCCGCATCCTTAGTGTCAATTCTTAAAAAGAGATATTCTATAAAAACATGCATTTTAAAGTGTATTCTTTTGTGTATTCCCTTTTCTTTAGAGAACTGCCTGTGTTGACTCTAATATTTTCATTTTGTAAAGTTTTGATTTTAACAGACATACATGTAAATATGTTTAACTAAGAATTCCTGTTTATGTGAAAATATACAATCTATATTGAACACATATTTTGCATAAAAGCGGTCCCTATGTTAAACTTATGACCCCCTTTTGCTAATGGGATATTTTGGGATGATAGTTCCCTGAAACGGATTCATTTAAGCAACAGTTGCTGTGTCTCGAAGATGAGACGAGCAGGTTTGTGATGACATGATTGTGTTGTTGAGTCACCATCAAACATCCCTCCAAAAGGTTGTGTGTTGCTTTGAGAATAGTATACAAATAATACACAGCAGTGAGGGCATTAGTAAGAATTACCCACACGAGGTACCTTTGGAACAGTCTAACACACCTGAGGCGGTATCCAAAGGGTGTTTGGACAGTTTTTAAGGTTCCGAGTGTGGGTAAATTTACTAATGCCCTAACAAAATCATGTGTATTATTTGTTTTATATGATTATGTTTTATTTGTTTCATAAAATGATGTTTAATAACATGATTTTGAAAATGACCGGTCATTACCATTGGATAATGACCGGTCGTTATCTAAATGCCTGGTCATGTGTACGCTTTCAACCAATCATTTGATTAGGATCTGCTTCATCATCTTATAAAAGCAGATATGCTGGTTGGGATAGAAGATTTAGGATCGTATCAAATCAGAAAAAGTAGTTATTCTTACCCTCCGATTCTTTGTTCAAAAGTTGATTGAGAGCTGTCCCCTATACTGAGTTTCAAGTATAATTTTTGATAGCGTCAATTAATAAATTTTTCTAGATGTGAATATAGTATCTTCTCTGGTGCCTCTGCTTCACTAAGAAAGAATTTTAGAGCGCAAAATGGCCATGACACATTTTATGATTGAACTGTGATCCTATTTTTAACAGAAACTGTAATGTCGCTAAAAAAAAATTAAAAATTGAAAAATTAAAGTCTCTCATTGAGTTCCTAATGTTTATGTAAATATTGACATAAACAATTTGGTAGTATTGTTTACTTTCTAGTAGGAGAGACAGATTGGATGTGAATCCTAGTGATTTCAGATCAGTTGCACATCATTAGTGATTTCTGGTGACATAAGTTTCTGTCTCTACCAGCTAAGGTTTGACACATAGCATACTGAGAAAGATAGTTGTGACAAAGACAGATCCATGTGTGCGAGTGCAGTCGTAGGTTCATTTATGGATCTCCAAATAGTCCCCTTCCACGTATAAATCTCTATGGGAGGGGGAACTGTTTGGAGCTCCATGAAGGAAATGATTCACCAATCAGAAGGGAATTCCGCTGTTGCAACTATCTCTAAATCCACTAGCTATGATTTGACATGTTAAGCACTTTTTACCTATATGCTTGTATTTTGTTTCCTCTTTGTCTCATTAGATACGCCGGCCGGGCTGCATCTGCTTCCACGGCAACGGGCAACAAGAGTACGCACGTCAACGAACTTCAGAGTTTCTTCAATTGTGCCATGAACTTAGAATAAATCTATCTTCAACATCTGATCTAGTGAAAACAATGCCCTTTAGATCTAACGCTGGGTTAATGTATCCATTACATTGCACAATCAGGAACAATGGACACTGTTCTTAGACGATGTTCAATTTGCAATTAATTAATAAAGATCGTCTACTGGTCGATTTCTAAATTCCGACCTCTAAAAACAAAACAAAATGTAACAAACAAACAAATCAAAATAAAACAGAAAATTAAAACTTAAAAATGCATATTAAGGTATATATTTATTTTTGGAGTCGCAGTTTATATTTTGACTCCTGTTTTCCACCCCCCCCCCCAAAAAAAAAAAATTGTCCTGATTCCTGCAATGTATTTATGTGAGTTTGAAAACAATGTCCCAATCTCGATAATGCAATATTGGAATGAAATGAAATTGAAAGATGCAATAAACCGAACAAATTGAGCTTCTTCAATTTTGAAATATGATTTTCCAATTTGGAAAGTACGAAATTGAATTTCAGCATCCACACAAACTTATGTGACTTATTGTTTGGTTCACTGCACTGAAGGAATTAATCTGAAGTCTAAATGTCTTTTTTTTTCTTCTTATTTTCACTTCCTTCAATTTCAATCTTAAGAATTCTTATAAACAAACAAATCAAAATTTCAAACTAGTTTACTGTTTGTATTTAGAGTGTAATATTAGTTCAAAACTTAAATTTTTTTTTCATTATTTTTTTGACATTTATTGAATTTGCCAGAAAATGTTGTTGGACTGTTGTTGCTGCATTTTAGTTTTAGTTTTTGTTCAACCTTTCAATGCAATAAAAACTTTATTTGTTCACTTCTCTTGTAATATAAGTTAGTATGTTCAGATATTCAGTCATCTATTATAAAGAAACATCAACAAATTCTCGCCTGATTTCTCTTCAAGATATCCCCACTCAATCATTAAAATGGCTGTGGGCTTACTGATCACTACAAGCCAACATGTGAATGGTAAATTTTGCAATTCATAATATATCCCAAATTGTGCAAATAACAGTATCTGCCTAAAACTGAGATAATGTAAACAAATTTGACTATGAAAAGATAAAGTGAACATCTTTAAGCATGCAGCATATTGTTGCATGGCTTAGGAAACTACAACCGCCCGACGGTTGGCTATGTTACCTATTTTCTGCACACGCTCAATTCTATTACCCGGTACACTTTTTCACCTTTCATCTCATTTCATGTATTATAGACTGCACAGTTAGATTATGCATATGGCATCATGATACACGAATGAAATGTTTGAAAAATTACGTCATATTGCACTCTCCTAGATATTCTATTCACTTGTTTTGCTATCAGAAGTCTTTATTGTGATAAGTGAAATAAGCTGGTGTCTTCGGGACTCAAGGTAAACAGTCAAAATAGCTAAATTTGTTTAGTTAGCAGAGAGTTAAAGTGCCTTTCGATGGACCCCTCCCCTTTCCCCCTCCCCCAAAACCGAGTGAAACCTTGTCATAGAACTTCTAGTCATCTGTTTTATGCACTGCACATCACTAAAGACACACCAGTAGAGAGCTTCCATGGCAGATTATGCACTAATGTTTTTTTAATCAATTGTTTACACCCGCGTTTGGTGTTTTGTTTGATTTAATAAAAAACTTCTTGTCATGAATGTTATCCGAAATATACTAGTGGCTTTGCACTTTATAGTCTACCTATGGTTAGACATGGTTATAAGATTTTGATGAATGAAGAAAGTGTTACATTTTAAAGAGGAACAATTCAATTGCATTTGGGGTTCTGTGTACATGTTTGTGGCAATGCAGTGGAAAGAAATCATATTATTTTGTTTTTAGTCACATACAGGGGATTTGTGCGTTTGATATAATGACTGTACTGCTTGTATAGGCAGCTTTTAAACATGAAATAAACTGACTTGGGAATGCTGTTCTTGGAAAAAGAAACAATCGGTCATTTCGTATTTCATGCATATGTGCTTCAATCTTTGTAAATGGAAAATTACTGAGGAGAAGCGAGAAGTAGAATTTGATGAATTTATGTAAACTGTAATGCACAAATGAAGATTTCTTAGATATATATTATTGAATCGTCTTCAAAGACAATGATAGATGCGGAAGAAGTTATACCGGTGCACCTCGTTTGACGATGTATGTATCTGGTGTAGGTGAACGGTTTGAGGAGTTCTGAACATGGTGGTTCGGTTTCTCTTTCAGAATTATATTATTTTAGTTGCGAGTTGACCGTTTTGTTTATCCTTTTTTTTCTCTCTCTCTCTCTCTTTCTCATCAAAAGTTTTATTCAAATGTATGTTTGCCGTCATGACATGAAGGAGAAAGCCGGAAGTGTTGTATGTTGTGTATCATATTTGGTTTAAAGGATGACGGGCTCATTACTGATTCATTGATGAGTGTGGAGAAGAAATATAAATTAAAAATAAAAACTATTGAAAAATATATATTTCCATGTGTTTCTAGAAGTTATATTTTCTATGTCGTTTGCGGGTGCGATCATGGGTAAAACATGATAGAAACTACCTTCGAAAAAGCAAGATGACGCAACTTAACCCTTTGCTTACGGGAACCTGGTAGTCTCTGTGTTAAAGTCTATAGGACCTATACAATTCAGTAGTCAACGGGTTAAATAGCCTCTTGCGTCGCCTATTGAAATGTGTGAAGAATAACAATGATGTATTACATAATCTAAACATGAGATCCTATGGAATATGCAACAGAGTATTGAAAGTGCACTTGGGTTGATTTGTCAAAAATACACATGTAATTCAATTGCGCTGTAAGTAGTCCAGGGGGGTGTTTCATAAAGCTGTTCGTAAGTTACGCACGACTTTACGCATGACTGGTGATAAGTTCTTGTGCTACATGTAAATGATTGAGAATCTGATTAGCACCCAAGAACATGTTCCAGTCGTGCGTAAAGTCGTGCGTAACTTACGAACATCTTTATGAAACACCCCCCAGGAGGGTGTTTCACAAAGACTAAGATCGACTTAAAGTTGGACTTAACTATGGAAGACCGTTCATGCCACTGTTTGCTCACACCATTATGATCTTTCAATAATATTTTTTCCTTCAATAATGAATCATCAAAAAATGTAGATTTAAGACCATGATTTGTACTGCGCCCCTAGAGAGACCAATGCCAGTAAACGGTGAGAGCAAGCAGTGGCATGAACAGCCTGCCATAGTTAGTCCTACTTAAAGTCAATCTTAGTCTATGTTAAACAACCCCTGCTGTGATAGTAAAAAAATCAAAACTACTCTAAAAACGTCAACTCGGGGGCTATTTCAATTTTCAATACCCTATGGTATATCTGACAGAAATCATGTTCTGATTACTTAATACATCATGGACAATGCTATTGAAATTGCTTAAGTTGATTTTCCGAAAGTCTGTGCGATCGTGTTTAGTAGATTTTGAAGAAGTTATGAGAAGTATAAGAAGATGGAAAATGGGGGGGGGGGGGGTTGAGATTGAAAGGATTAACGGGATGAGAAGAATATGTGGCAAGATAACATTTTGTTTTTAAATAAAAGAGAGAGAGAGGAATGGATGGAAGAAAATCTTCTTGTAAGAGGTGGAGATAGGGAATTGATTGAGCAGGAACTTTGGCAAAAAAAAGGTATGGAAAATGATGAAGAAAGCAATTTTGGGGGTGGGGAAGGGAAGAGGCAGAAGTTCGCAACATTAAGGTTATAGTACTTGTGCCTGAAAACTGATCCCAGGCGGCCTGTGTATGATACTTCCGCCGAAAATCAAAACAGCTGTGAAAAGACACATGACTCCTTGACTCATCAAGGCTGATTCACGAATACTTCCCTCTTTGTTTATTCTCTTTTCCTTATTTTTGGTTTTGCCTGTTTATAAACTTTCCATGTAGTAGTGGTTCTAGAGGGGGGCTTGGGGCTCAATCAACGTAAACAAATTATTTAACTCCCCCCCCCCCAAAAAAAAAAAAAAACAACTTGAATTTACATAACTTTAAGCGAGGCAAACAGAAAATGATTTCAACAACTCCTAAGCCCCCCCCCCCCCATGTTCCCCTTCTAGAAACGCACCTGTATATCCATTGATCTGATTGTAATCAGAGTATGAAAACCAGAACTTCCTCGTCTAAATTTACATCGAAGTGCCCTAGATATTGCAGTAGTTGAAACCCCCACTCCCCCAACATTAAGGAAATCAAAACGTCCTCCTCGGTGGGTTTGCGTTCTCCCCTTCCCCTAAATCTTTAAGATAAGATTCGAAGGTCTTTTCCCTTTCCTCGTTACTTGGAAAGGAACGAGATGAGAACTATGTTTGGTGGCAACGGGGATTATGTTGCCATGGCTTTGTTTAATGTTTGTTTTTTAATTTTTTATATAAGTTGCAAAACGGGAACAACAATTACACCACTAAATATATAACAAAATGTGCTGAAACAACAGCCTTTCAATGGGGATCTCTTGTGGACCATTCAAGTGGAGCAGGAGTGGAGACATCATATTTTGATGATCATATCTCTTCCTTCATCTTGAATTTATACGACACTTCGGTTGTTTATTTTGCTAAATGTATATCAGATCAAATGATGTTTAGCGGAATTTTACCAACTCTTTTTGCAAGATGGAATCAATTTTATAAAATTTATCAAAATATGCTCACAAGAGACGGTACAGATTATCGTGTTTTTTCTGCCATGCCCTCTCCCTCTTTCTTTTTCTTTCCCCCTATCCTGCATCCTACCTCTTCCTTCTCCTGCCCATCCTCTTCACTTCTTCCTCCTCCTCCACCGCCTCCTCTTCCCCTCCTCCTCTCCTCCTCTTTACTCCTTCCTCCTTCCCCTTCTCATTCTCCTATTCTTCTCCTCTTCAATCCCTTCTCCTTCTGAATCTCTCCTCTCTTTTCTCTTTCTCCTCTTCTTTATCATTACCATCATTAGTGCAACCATCATCACCACCATCCTCATCATCTTTATCAACCATCGTCACTACTTATATCCTGTGGATATATCGAGGGGTTTACGCCGGCTGGCTCGCCCAATGCTGGTTACAACAATATTTCATATACCTGTATCGGCATATACCTTTAAGTCAGTAGACGAAGACACGATTATTAGATTATTCAGAATATAACAGCCTTGTATTTACTGACAGATGAATTTTTTATACAAAATAATGCTTTGTCACAGAAGAAATACTGACATACTATAAGAACAAACCTCTGAGCACAATCATTCGACAATCAACACCTCATCCATATGGGTTACCTCAGTACAATACAGACTTTCTCTACAATCTTATTTTAAGTAACACCGTTCTGATGTGTTACGCAATGATTAATTTACGTTTGTGCGTGTGTGACGTAAGCTAATTATAAATCACTAAATGTGGATGCAATTCAAAGAGGAACAGGATCGACAAACGGCAGCGACTACGTCATTAATTAATTTTAAAAATGGGGGGGGGGGGGTGGGGGCAATGTGTATACCTGACTGCTAAGAACAATTTCGTGTTCTATAGATACACCGGCCCGGGAGTGGTGGTGGGGCCGGGGGGGGGGGGGTCTGGCAGTCATACTGTCCTTCAAAATCGAAAAATACTTTATCTGTAACTCCTATCAAATAAGTGCTTTCTTATAATTTTCTACAATGGGGGGGGGGGGGGCTTCAATAGAAGAACCCTATCCTGGATACTTCAGTGAGTGGGTCAGCATTATAGTCTGCATGACCAAGAAACCGAAGACTCCAAACTTTTCCAGGTTCATACGGCTTAGATTCATCACGGGACACTGACAAATTAAGAGAGGATTCAATACCTCTGAAAAGGGACACGGCATTCAATATAAAAGAAAATATGTGTCGGACACATGCCAAATAGACAGTTGCAGATCCAAGCTGGCACCCTGTTAATAATAGAAGTGTTACAGACAATGAGACCCCTCCCCCTTTTTTCCCCCGGCTCCCTTGCTTTTTTACCGGTTACGATGGATGAATGTGCAAAAACTATTTTAAGTGTGAATTTGGGGGACATATTGTGATTGAAACCGAATGTAGCCGGTCAGATTGATGAATTGTCTTGTCGGCGCTCTCCTTTACTGTCAGGCATTTTAAATTGCTTAAACTATGGATGGATAAATCAAACAAGAAAATGCTCTGTTCCCTATGTTATTGTTCAAAAGAACAATTCTATTACAGTAAATATTTATTCACTTTACTTACACTTGCAATACAATGAAATCATGGAAGCCATGACGTGATCCAATGTACATGACATTGCAAAGTAACATTTTGAAGTATTAAAATCATTACGATTTGTATATATATTCAAGTTTTTAATTTTAGAGATCCACATCTAAGTATATCAAAAATGGTGTTTTTGATCAACCAACTTTTTTTGATATAAAAACAAGTAGATCTATATACAATCATATACTCTTACACGCTGCTAGAAAAATTGAAATAATTATGTACAGTTATAACTGAGTCGTCAAATGACGTAATAATTACACATGTCGAGTCTTGTCGTATACTGGACTCCATTACAAAACGTATAAAAGCTCATTAACATGTCAAGATATTCATTCTTACAAAGTAGCATATCGAGCATAATAGGTAATCCACGTGTATTTTTCAATTTATATAAAAAAAAACCCGTAAAAGTTGAAGTTGAACTATTTCATGTTGACTTTTAGAGAGCTGAAACTAAAGGCGGATTAACGTTGACCCCATTTTTAAAATAATTTTTCTTCCGTAACAGTAAATTTCTTAATATGAATTTTGATCTTGTTAACTATCATATCGGGAAAGAGAGAGGAAAAGGCCTATTCTTTGGCTTCGGAAATGACCCAGATATTGTGACAGTTGATACTTAGTACATGATCATTACTATCATAATTAGATTAAACTGACAGAAACCTACAAGTTCTTGATGATGTACATTTGATTGACTGAAAATGATCCACACAGATTTAGAAAAGTTTTAAACATGATTATCTACTTGCTGTACGTAATTACATGCTTGATGTGCATTTAAGTCGTGGTATGAAAAGGGAAATCCTCGACTTGAAAAAGAAAAGTCACATTAATTTTGTAAAGGAATATGCAAGCGTACTTCTGGTATTGCACTTTCTATGCTGAAGCATGCAATAAGATCATACATTTAAAAATAAATTTCTGGTACGTCTAGCAGTTTAGTATAGCTGAATATATCAATCAGATGGGTGGTTACATTTAACATGTAAAACTAACATAATATATGACAACAGAAATTTCACATTCCATAGTAATTCAAAATGTATTATTTTTTTACAAAGTTATAAATACATATCAGTAAGTTCTTCTTCGGAGACTAATGTTAGAGGTACCCTAAAATCTTGCAATTTGGGCAGCAGGAATCCAGAAGTCATTGTAGGAAGGCCGCTTCCGATAAACCAGTAGCTTTTCGTGTGTGCTCACAACTATAGTTCCCGGAGAGGGCGCTGCAAGTCGTAACCAAGTGCTCACCAAGTTGACCTTCTGGTTCTGAACAACGTTCTCGACGAATTTGCCTTCGGGCGTCATCAGGTTGACGGAGAGCATGTCGTCGCTGCCCTTGTTGATGATGGCTATGTACAGGTTATCGTCTTCGTCTGTCGTGCAGTAGGAGTGCTCGTTGGGACTACCACGAACGGACGCTGTAACGTCGCCATTCTGGTCGAAGATCTTGACGACTGGACCATTCTGAGCGCAGGGGTCGGAGACGACGATGTGACCCGACTTCAAGGTGTGAAGCTGCCACGGGGCGCAACCGGAAGTTGTGGTGGCACGTAGCATCTTCCCACTCGAAGAGCTGAAGATCATAACCTTCTGCAAGAAAGGGTACCCGGCATAGACGTTGTCGTCTTTGTCGACAGCTATGGAAGCGAATCCAGACGCTCCCTGGGTATCAAAACGTTTCTTGACTTTGCCGTCCTCACCCAGAATCTGAAGCGAACCGTCAACGCTGGAAACGGCGAAACTTCCATCACTCATGGTGGCGACGTCATGGACTTTGACATCCTCGATGACGCGGCGACCGCTGCCGTTGATGCTGACGACGTCGATGCCACCAGAGTAGTATCCGATGACAAGCTGCCCATTTGTGTATGCTGTCATTCCATTCATCACGCATCGTCGGACAGGGAACTCCACCTGCCGGGCCAGACGCCATACCATCTGACCATGAGTAACTTTCCCGATGAATTGCTTGGGGACCTCTCGTTCGAAGCGGATTTTGCGGGCAATCTCGAGAACGCGATCCAGTCCAGCGCGGTCGAACTTTTTCGACATCGGCTTCTGGACTGTGGTGTCGAATCCTTCGTGAAGCATCAGCATCTCGTTGTCTTTACTCTTCTCCAAGATGATCTCACCGATGTTGTTGACTCTAGAGATCCTGGACTCGGCTTCTTTCACATTATACCTGACACCGTCGATCCTCTCAACAAGAGCAGAGCGGACCTGTCTGAGGTTATTGAGCAGGATGCGACGTCGTTCTTCAATCTGCCTGATGTCTTCGTCAGCAGCTTGGTCGACCTTATCCATAGCTCGTTTAATCTCCGCCAAGACCTCCTTCTCACGGTGATCAATGACATAGATATGGTCGGATATCTCTATCGATTTACATTTAATCTCGGACAACATCTTTCTCAAGTTCTCCCTGAGTTTAATGGCGGCGTTGGTCATATCCATGCAGTCGTGATGCGGTTTGGAGTGTGTGGTTAAGATACAGTCACGGCACACGGACTTCTTGCAGGTGTTGCAGTAGAACTTGAGCTGTTCTCCCTCGTGGTGTTTACAGGTTGGCAGTTCATCTGTAACGCTGTCCATACGCTGGACCTTTGTCTTCCCGCTGCGGATCTCTGCGATAGGGGTAACCACGTGCCCTCGCATGGCGATCCTCATCTTGGAGTGCATATTGACGCATTCCTTGCAGAGGATGTTGGAGCAGTCGTGGCAAAAGGATGTCGCAACGGCTTCTTCGTCACCGCACCAGTCGCACATGGCATCCACGCTCTTCAACTTCTCCTCGTACGCCTCGAACTCCTCAAAGGCATCCACCATGCGGTTCATGATGAAGTTGAGCGGTAGCCCTCGGACACCTACTTCAGGTAGGGTGGTACAGTGTCTACAGATAGGACAGACCACCGTGTTTTGTTTGCTGCTGGTGCTGGCGCATCGTTCGATGCAAAGTTCGCAGAAGGAGTGGAAGCAAGCAAGGAACCGGGCGCTCTCAAACTTCTGCCAGCAGATGCTGCATTCGTGCTCCTTGCGGAGTCGGTCAATGGTCTCACGGCCTGCCATCTTATCCATGGCGTCAGGTATCAGCTCTTACTAGGAGTGTCTTCCACCTCTGTTCAAAGGGCAGCAAGTGGCCTACTCAACCGCAAAAATCTGAAGAAGGGGAAAGAGAAGACCAAAGTATTTTTAATAGAATGATCTAGAACAGTATACTATAGCAATGACTTTCAAAAATCAACTTGAGGCAATTTTAATTCCCTTGTCCATTATTTTATTAATATGCGAACATCACAATGACGTATAATATATTACGTAATCCGAATGTGATTTCTATATCTGGGGGGTGTTTCACAAAGACGCAGATCGACTTTAAGTTTGACTTAACTATGGCAGGCCGTTCATGCCACTTGTTTTTCTAACCATTCCTTGTACTGGTTTTTCAAGGGACGTACGAATCGTGCTCACAAATCTACAGAATTTACCTTTTTGATAGTTCATTTTTTAAGGAAAAAACATTATCTAAATATCATAATTGAGAGACCAATGGTGACAGCAACCAGTGGCATGAAAGGCCTGCCATAGTTAAGTCCAACTTAAAGTCGATCGTATTATTTGTGAAACACCCCTGGATATACACAATAGGGAAATTGCTCTTAAGTTGACTTTTCGAAGTTGATTGAGATCATGTTAGTTGATATTCGTTTAAATATACTACCATGATGAAAGAGAACCAAATGAAAATGGATATAAGTCCAATGAAAGAAAAACTATACATATTGAAAACAAGGAAAGCAGACCTCTGGGCTCCGATGCGATTGATCCGAACCAATCGCAATTCCGCTTTACAACCGCAAGTTTGCAGTCTCCTATGTATAGTTGCGATTGACATCAATCGCAAATTGGTTGCGATTAATAATAGCAACTGTTTATAAGATGCGGTCCGGGTGCATCCACGTCAAGAATTAATTTAATTAATTAATTAAACCTAGTGGGAAAACTTTATTACCATGCATTTTAAAGATAAGGGAAATAGAGGAATAGCACCGCGAAGAGGGAAACAGATGTATCATGTACAGACACGATGAGAGAGGAAGAGAGGGAGAGGGGGGGGTAAAGAATGGGGAAAGCAAGAACGAAAAACTTAGAAGAGACCTGGAGTAAATCGAGTGAGAGAGAGGAAGAAAGAGATAGGAAGAGAGAGAGAGAGAGAGAGATAGAGAAGAAGTAGAAGTAACATAAGAAGTAAAAGAAGAAGATAAATGGGGTTGGCGGGTAAGAGTGATCAAGGCTCTACAAAACTCTGACTCTCAGAGAGTAAAAAATGAGACTTCATCATCTACCAAGATAGATACCCTAGGCACGCTTATACATAGGCCTATACAGGAGGGGGTGACCCCACCACCTGGCGATGCATCGACGCCAATTATGCTATCTAAAATTTACAAGCGGGACCAATGTTCCATGATTAGCGTGTAAGAAGGGCAAGCAACATCACCCCTCCCCCTCCCCCTCCCCCGGGGGCTGATATCATTCTCCGAAGAAAGTGAGAGTTCATGCACTCTGGAAACTATTAATTAGCGCCAACCCCCAGAACGTGATAAGTCATCTATGCATATGGTGAGGCTCTGTTTAATAGCAGTAATGTGCCAACGAATGACTTCATGTTTTGGCACTCTGCTCTGGATCACCATGGTCACATTCAACCTTGTGTACAACCTGTTCTTGATGATTTACTGTGCATTAATTTATTTTGTAATATTTCGATTAAAGTGGTTTTGGAGTTTTCTAAAGTAAGATAGCAATTGTTAGTGGTCTGAGAAGAGAAATTTGTATATTTATATCTTCAACAGTCAAACAGGCCCTATTTTGCTGACCTTTTATTAACTCCCCCCTCCCCCTCCTCTAATTGGAGCTTTATCCCCTTATCCCATAGCTTAATTTTCTTTCTTTTTTATCATTTCGCTTTGAATTTGAAAATATACCAGGTGGCGTAAAATTGTACACTGCCAGTCGTGTTATTTCTATTTTCCTTCAAATAGGGGGTGTCCGCCTGTATCCATAATAATAATGGATACGCCTGTGAAGTAACTTCACTTCAACCCGTTATGGAAATCGAAGAAAAAAAATGCAGATCATTGCCCCTTCACTTACACGTCCGATCTGTGTCATGATAAGACCTATAAACATGTACTACAATTCTCCTGACACTAACTCGCTTTCATGAATCTTTGGCAGAACAAGATCGTATCATCACGGATATTGTTTAATGTGTTTAGATACTTGTCTTACACGAACGTACCATAAGGAGATTGTTAAATGTATTTATATAGTCATAAGGAAGGTATAGACTATAACAAATAGGCCTACATGTATTATCAAGCACAATCTTCCGCAAGGCCAACCATGTGATTTATTTTCTTTCTTCAAATTCAGGAATATCTTTGTAAACAAAAGATTCGAATCTCCAAGCTACCCCGATATTTCCAGCTCATCGATACTATTAACGACACTTGAGAGACTTTCCAAGTTCATATTTGGCTGCTCCCACCTTGTTAACCGGTAACTCATTGTGGAAGGAAGCATCCAAAAATAAAGTCGTACAGGTGGGTCCGCTCATAAGGACAAGGACGTTTGGGTCCCTTGCTGCAACTGAAACAAATTACTACTTCCCTGACATTCAAACATAGCATTTTTGTCTTCCTTCTGAAGATTCGAATTGTGATAACTAGCCACAAGAGGATGTATAATATGTGATTAATGGCGTAAAAGGGGTTCAACGATTGAGGGGGAAGGGGAACTGGTAATATGGGAGGGGGAGTGGTACGTCTTATCGGTAACAAAATGCAAGACCGCCGTTGTGATGATGGAGAAGTACCTACATCTTCTTTTCCCGTTCTTTCCGCTTTCTCTACCCTCCCCTCCCCTTCTCTCTCTCTCTCTCTCTCTCTCTCTCTCTCTCTCTCTCTCTCTCTCTCTTCATCTCTCTCTCTCTCTTCTTTTTTCTCTTTTCTCTTTTCACCATTTGATATGGGGGGGGGGGGAGCACAAGCCCTTTTTAGCTACGCCTCTGCCTGTGATCACAGTATTTTGATAGTCAATTTGGAAAGCATTCTGTTCAAGCTGGTGCGCATTATATTTAAGATAAGTTTGGTGGATATACCGGGGGGCCTCCAGGAGCAAAGACAATGGTCATTTCAAACATGTTCTTTGATTTGCCAAATCCCACATTTCCCTTCAATTAAGATCAACAGGTTGATAACTCTTCACGGAGTTTATCGACATTGTTTTAATTCTACATCTGACATGGACATATGGTATAAAGGTACATTAAAAGGAGCATTTCAAATATATCATTTTGTAACTTGATGCCATGCCAGTTCGTTGCCAAGAATTCTTAATTGAATTCGGAATGATTTAGGACTGCGGCATCTTGAACAGTGACCAATGACGAGAATAGATGGTCACTTGTCATGAAATTTTATTACTTCTAATGTGCAAATTGGATTGATAGTAAGACATGATAATCCATCGCCAAATTCGATTAGTACGGCCAACCCTTGTCAACTGTCCTGGATGTGATGATAAGTCCAAACCGTTGATTTTTTTTTTTAATAGCATGATCTGATTTCACTTCACTTGATTTGATTTGATTTGATATATACATTTCAATGCAAGTAAATGGATATAGCCTGAATAGATCAAATTCCAGGGACGGCAAATTGAATGTGTGTGTGTGGGGGGGGGGGGGCAACTTTCCCCGCATGTTTTCCACAATTAAATATTAATCCTATTGGGGGTTTTCCCCGATAAATATGAATGATGTCCCTGTGCCCCCCCCCCCCCCCCCCCCCCCCCAGACACGCTTACGTGTTTCCAGAGAAAAAAAAGTAGACAAAATGACCTCGGTTATAGTTGTTTATTCGTAGCTGTTGTGATTTTAATCACCCCTTCCTACAATTTTGTTAGCGTAATCAAGGTAATGGTTTCCTGACGCATGCCAACGAAGGTTCAGAAGACGGCAACCTAAAAGTTATGAAGTATTTAATTTGAGCCAGTTTCAATATTGGACAGATTATGAAAGTTCACGGTAAATTTGTGTCACGATGGTTAAATTATTAGTTTATCAATTATGGACGAAGGCGATCGTGAGCACATGGGGGGGGGGGGGGGACGGCACGGGGACACGGGGGTACACCGATGCCTAGATCTCTTGGCAAATCCTGTAATATTGAATAACTTGCATACACATTAAATAGAAACATGATTATGCTCCCTAGTGTCAACTGACAACTCTTTTGGAGGGTTTGTTTACCAGAGATTGTGCCCCCTCCCCCCGATGCCAGAGAATCCTGCAACCGCTACTATAAAATCCGTGTATGGTGATCTTTAATTACGACCCATTTGAGCACTTTATTATAATCATTATGCCTTTATGCATGATGATAACGACTTGCTTGACACTTCTCATGAAGACTTTGAGGTCGGAGGCCCAAGGAGATATGGTAAACAAGCAACAAATTGAAAAAACGTGGACTTCGCGAAGGTAAAGGTTATTTTGAGAAGCTATAAATGACAGCTTTTCTTGGGGTACTTTAAACGATTGATGAATTGAGTTGGGCATTGATTTGGCAACCAAACAATTAAGAAGTGGAACAGGTTCAATTACACCCGGGGGGGGGGGGGGTCGGGAGGGGTGGCTGAACTGAAGACTCTTTCCCGAGTGTCAGCTTCGATTTTATTTGTTTAAATCTTGAGAGCGAGCGAATTTGTTGACACCTTTAAAAAAAAAATGATAATAGAAATAGAACTCGCTGCCCGAATATGAAGTGACTTCTGTCTGCCTTTATTCAAAATATTATTGGGGGAATGCACCTTCATGCCGCCCCACCAGACACCTACGTCTAGGTCTATAACTAAAATACCGTATCAAGATGACTACACCTAGACCATCACTTCTGAAAAAAGCTAGGACAACTTCCCCCAAAACAATTATAAACCCCCTATAATTATATACAACCCAAGAAAACTATCCCTAAAATTACCCCAGATGCACTTTAGAACGACTATGACAGCTACCCACAAGACAACTACTTCGGGCAACTATTTATATAGGATAAATACCCGTAGGACAAATTAAAACCGGACAACTATCCTGAATCGGACAGTATCCTCTAGGACTATCACCATGGAATAACCAATCAAGGAGAACTACAAGGGTGAAACATTGAAATAATTAGGGGTTAACATGAGATGAGATATCCCCCGCAAGGAAAGTATACAATATGTCATCTTACCCTACTTTTCACTCTCCAGCTTTACCGTGTCTTCACCACCACAATGCCTGGCTTTTTTTTATTTGCACACTGCACCCACTCACATATTATTGCCTTCACTTCTTGGACAGCTATCATCCAACCTTTTTAGATTCAAGACTAACTGTCCGAATATCAGAAAGCCGTTGCCTGAATATTGGTCATTTTGAAATTACTGGGGTGCAACCCCCTCAGCCCCCTCCCCCTTCTCCCCTCTCCCCGTCTCATATGCCTATTGTGCATATAAGATGGGCTATCCTTTGCAAGGAGATGACCATATCTTATCAGGTGATTAGGTGAAGGTCACGACGATGTCCAGTAATCTCCAAGAGATTTAACAAATCTGGGCTATTCCAACCACATAACTTACACCGACAAGACGATGCTATATATACCCACATAAATCTCCATCTAATTCCAGTCACGATGTAGAAAACCTAAAATAAGTCCAAGAAGTCCGTACTCCCGTACGCCCCCCCCCCCCACCCGCCGGACCAACGTACAGTGCCCAATAGTCATTATCCAAAACAAAGATAATTAGCGTTTTACAAAAAGCATCATAAGAAAGTTCACTCAAGGCACAAAAACGATTTATATGGATGATTTATACAGACTTGAGTCTTTGCTCACAATTACCCCCCCCCCTTTTTACCGCCCCCTCCACATCTCTGTTACAACAAATTGGGTCGGTAAAAGAAGAGATATGCAGCAGTTCGTTAATTTTTTTCATTCCTGGTTATTGTGATCTTTACTTTAAAATTTGCACTCAATTATCTAAGTTACACTATAATTTTGAAATTTGTTATCCAATGTTATACCCAAAAGTGAGAATGATCTATGCATAATGATCCTATTTGTTCAGATTTTAATCAATACAATTTGAATTTAATTGAATATATGGATAGTCCATTTGGATAAGAGCTCTAGACATTGCCAACTTAATTGGTGTGTGTCATTGCCAATTCAAAGAAATATTTCACCGGTGGGTGAGAGGGGGGGGGGGGGGCGTGACTAAAGACCTTTGTCCGAGTGTCAGCTTTCAATTTTCTAAATTCTGCGGATGATCAATTTTGTTGACATATTTTGTTTAAAATAACAATGGAAATGGATCAAAGGGTGGGGGGGGGGGGGCTAAAGAATCTTTTGTGTACGTCTACACCCCTTAGTACATCCCTAACTGCACCACTGGGTGAGACTGCGTCGTTCAACCCCTTTAATCTCAGGAGAAAAGCAAAATATCTAAAAGTGCGAAAGTCACGTCTATGTAAATTATGATCAAGTTTTTTTGTCCCCACGATTCTTCTCGCCTCTGACGCATCGCACCATGTGCTTTTAATTTAAATCCCAAGGTCAGAGAAAGACTGTCGCGTTCAATTAGGTAGGAGGGCTGTAGGGTGTTACATATTATAGCAAGGTCGCAAAGGCTTTCGAGAAATCAACAATATCCTATGGTGTGTTGTGTCCCATAATAATATGTTCGGAATGTTAATATGTCTTGGTCATGTTTCGTACATTTGAGACTGTTGCGGTCAATTAGGTAGGAAGACTGTAGGGCGTTACGTATTTTAGCAAGATCGCAACGACTTTCGAGAAAACAACAATACCCTATGGTATATCCATAGAAAGATGTTTGGAATGCTACTAATGTCTTTGTCATGTTCGTACTTTTGAGACTGTCACGTTCAATTAGGTAGGAGGGCTGTAGGGTGTTACATATTATAGCAAGATCGCAACAACTTTCGAGAAATCAACAATACCCTATGGTATATCTATATAAATATGTTTGGAATGCCACTATGTCTTTGTCATGTTCGTACATTTGAGGATTTAGGGTGTTACATAATATTATAGCAAGATCGCAAAGAATTTCGAGAAATCAACAATACCCTATGGTATGTTGTGTCCTATAGAAATATGTTCGGAATGCTAATATGTCACTGACAATGTTCGTTGATGTCAATAGGTGATGGACAAGGCCTTTGAAAATACCTCAAGTAGATTTTTCGAAACTCTTTGCGATCGTGTAATATAATGTTTCGTCCAAGTATTATTTAGCAATTGTATTAGCAACTTTCGACCCACCCGTTTCAAGGTGCCTCCCTAAAGTGTTTTTGTTTCTAAGATGCTCTATATTACATCCTTTAGTTGGCGCCCCGCCGGTGCCCCCACCCCATCTAACATAAAGCAGGGTCCATAAAAGGCACTTATTTAATTTATTTTAGAATGAAATTAACCGCCATTACCCAAACATGTACCCACAGAAAAATATCTTGAAACGCCACTTTCCTATATAAAAAGTAAAAATAAAAAACAAAAATGTTTTTTTTCAAAGAAATTGTAAGAAATTGCAAATTTCTCTATAACAAAATTCATAATATTTAGAAATGATTTGAATGAAAGAATATAGTACGACTCTGTAGCAAGGTTCATGTAATTTTGTGAAAAGAAGAAATGTACTCCTTCATAGCAGAAACTAATTGATGGGCCTAATATACCGAATAACAACGCATGTGTATGGTATATAACTTTCTTTACATGTCTTTAAACGTTAATGAAATAGAGAATTCATATTTCAAGAGAGGGTAAAAACAAGCAAGCAGAAAGACATGAAAGACAAAAAGAAAACCAACGATTTCTGTACAGTTTGTAGCTTGTAATAAATAGGCCCATGAATAATGTGAATAAGGAATTTGCCAAATAACAACAAAAAGCCTTCAGAAAAGAACAATGGTTCATGTTTATGCATTTACTAATCCTGACACGAAACGAAATTTCATATTCTTAGTAGTGATAAACTTTTGAGAAAAAAATAATGTAACGAATTGTGCACAATTATTTAACCTTAAACTTTATTTAAAGGCATTATTAGTTTGAAATGTATAAGCCCAGAGACAATAATTGACGCAACTTTGTCTTGGACACTACAGGTATGATGACTTTCCATTTCTTCACTGCAATTGTGTTTTTTTCCAAAATAACATTCGTATATTATTTCATATTTCGAAAGATATATGTCACCACATGTGTAATTTAGATTTATATTTCGTCAAAACCACAAAAGTTATTTAACGAGATAAAGGAGATAAAAACTCACCTTATTGCCTCGTCAGTCCGGCGTTTTTCAATAATTCCAGGAATAATCTTTCCGAGAAGAAAGTCTTTAGAACACAGGTGTTCGCACAAATAAATACCAATTATCGCTGTCACAAATACTGAATATATCAATTTCCAAAGGTAGTTTAACTATCATCACACTCAGGCATTTTAACACTAATGCCCGCTAATGATTCTGCTCGGTTTTTGCAGACGATATGTTGTAGTTAATCTGGGGGAAACCGCGATCGCGTTAATCGATCTCAGTCAGCTGTCGGAGTCCGTCGTCTGTCACTGTCCTACTCCGCTGCTGAGACGCGTCGCACATTTGTTCCTGGCTTCCGTTGAGTTGATACGTCAGGCAGGGGCCCTCACGTATTAATTACATTATCTTCACTTGAAAGTTCATTTAAAACTCGGCTATCCTCCATCGACCTGCAATGCGCTTGAATGAAACTGCCAATTCCTACAAAAGGATTCGCGGATTTATCTCAATTAGGAGACTAATGCCAATTTGAAATGAGGGATCGGTTCGAACGCGCTTGCCACAGAATGAAGGGCCAGTTAGTAGCTTGAGTTCAGATACTGGCGATAAGGTTAGGGGCTTTTATAATTGTTAAGGAAGTCTTTTACTGGACTGGGTCCCAGATATTGGTTCACTGCCAGCTGTAAGTTTTTACTTCTTTGACATGAATTTACTGAGAGGTTGTTGGACAAGAGAAAGTGTACCGGAATATTCTTCCTTCTCCCTTTTCTCTCTAAATGTTTTTGCAACCTCTCTTCTTGCTTCGTTTGAGCTTGTAGAAAGTAACGTAGCGGTTGCGTCGTCAGCTTGTTTCCGTTGCTATAGTAATGACTTTCATCGCGTGCGATGATGAACCTGCCCAAAACAATCCTAAGTTCCTCTTCCTTTAAAAAATTAATATCCGACTTGATGGTTCACTCTTCTCCACCTTGCTGACTTCTTTCTTATTGTCATACCTTCTTCTCGTGTTTGTATCCCCTCGCCCTCACCCTCTTCCTCTGACCCTCTCTATCTCTCACTCATTGTTATTCTTCCAGCACTCTATCTCACTCTCTCTCGCTCGCTCTCTATCTCTTTCTCTCTTTCTCTCTCTCTCTTTCTCTCTCTCTCTTCTCTCTCTCTCTCTCTCTCTCTCTCTCTCTCTCTCTCTCTCTCTCATCTGCCTCTGTCAACTCCTTTGTAATCCCCTCTCCCCTCTCTCTCTCTCGCTTTATCCATCCCCCTCTCTCTCTCTCTTTCTCTCTCTATCTCTCTGTTATCTCACCTTCTTGTTCTTACTCCGACTTTCTTTCTTTGCCACTCTCTGCCAAACTGTCTCTGACACTTTCTATCTCCGCCTCTCACTCTCCATCTCCTCCTATCTATATATATCTCTCTCTCTATCTCGTTCTCATTTCTCTCCCTTCTCTCCCCCTGTCTCTCTCTCTCTCTCTCTCTCTTTCTCCCCCTTCTCTCCCCCTGTCTCTCTCTCTCTCTCTCTCTCTCTCTCTCTCTCTCTCTCTCTATCTCTCTCTTATATATCTCTATCTCTCTCCTCTCCCTCTCAATCTCACCTCTCTACATATCTCTTTCCCATTCTCCCCCTTAAAGTTTGAACCTCTCGCTCGAAATTTACTCCAGAAAGTCTCGCGATAGAAAAAAAAAAAAAACAGTTTTTATTCCTCAGTGGCCAATGTTTCTTTTATCTTCTTTATTTAAATGATCCTCTTTCGTGACTACTTCTGCTTTTATTATAACATTAATCATGCATTTTATCCACCGCCAAAAAAATGGCACTTCCGTATTAATAATAGGCCAATTCTTTTTTCTTCCTGTGCTCCGGCTCGAAATGAATCACCAGTAGTCATCATACACTGTAAATATTGGTCAGAGTTATAAAAAAAAATATTATAAAAAAAGGGAGAAAAATGAAAAGAAAGAAAGAAAATAACGGTAGCGTATATTTAGGCAGCGTATTATCTCTCTTCTACTTCCAAAGAGACAATAATTACAGACAATTTATGGTTCGGGGAATCGTGTCTCTGAATGGAGATACAAGCTCAGTATTTGATGCTGACCAGGGCGGGGAGGGAGGAGATGAGGGAGGGGGTCTGCCGTCTAATTTTAGTGCAACCAGTGGCGTATCTTTGAATTTCTTCCAGTTGCAGAAGTTAGACATATACTTGACCAAAAATGCCTCATGGGCTGAAAGGCGAATGCATGGATCAGTTTTGCCCCCCCCCCCTCCAACCTCCTAGATGCTCTAGTTGCAGGCCCTCGTTGCAGCTCCCGTTTTATAAATGAACATAATATTATACAAATATACACTGCCTTGAGAGGTTCTGGTTAAAACTATGCGCAAGAGGTGACTCCAATAGGGGCGCAGCCCAGAAGCAAATGGTACTTTTGGAGTCACCGAGGCCCATAGTTTAACCAGTACCTCGAATAGAAGGCATGGTATATTTGTTTTATATCCTGCATCAAAAATTTAATTAAAAAAAAAAAAAAAAACATTTTTTGGAAAAAAATTTAGAACAAAAAAAATGTCAATTTTTATCTAAAAAGATTTAAAATATTTTATTTTCATTAAATTAAGATTTGAAAAAAAAGAAATTGATTCAATTAAAAAAAAAAATTCACATTTTTTTTCAACTACCAAATAGTAAACCAAAATAGTACTCTCATATAGTACTTTCTAAAAATAGGTCAAATATTTTTGGTCATGTGACGAGCTCTCAACCAATCAAAAGCCAACAAATTTTGATGCAGGATATAAATTGAAATAGTTAGGTTTGTGTGTACTTCAACGATTTCGTGTAATTTCATGTTGCTTTGAGACTACCGGTCCTCTTTTTCAATATCTTGTGGGAATGACTGACATTAGATATTGATCAATAACATTTGTAAAATATAGAGATAAATATATTTATAGTTACTGCTGCCCCCTCCCCACACACAAACACACGTCCACTTAAAATCGTTCTTCTAAATGACATAAAATGATTATATTTTATACGTTGAAAGTCCAAGTACGCATCTTAAAAAGCAAGTTCGGATAAATGTATACAGAAGTAAACCACACTAATGATTTTACTTTACGAAATGTCGCCATGCAGCTGCAGGAGTTCAGAGGCACATGCCTCCCCCCCCCCCCATGACGAAGATAAAAAGAGAAGAGAATGAAAATGATGAAAAGAGAGAAATTGGAAAAGGGACAAGAGAAGACGACAGGACCCCCCCCCCTCCAAGCCCCTCCACTACTAAGATGACCTGTACATGTGGTTGTAAATTTGCATATTATCATTTTCTGAGTGCGACTGGTGCCCCCGAAAGATACCAGTACCCCTCAATGGCTAGACCCACACTACGCTACTGTTATGTAATTGGTTTGTTTTATTATTGGGGAGGGGGTAAGTTTTGTATGGGTTAGTGTAAATGGTAGGCCAAACAAATCGACGATTTAAAAAAAAAAGGTGTTGGGACGTGTAAATGGGTCTAAAGATGACTAATTTGCACACATCACTTCGCGTGCTAAACATTGTAAACAAACACTATTGTGACGTCAAGATTCGGGGAATCAGTTCTCCCTTATCTCTCCATCTCAATTTGAACTTGGACGTGACAATGTTCCTGTAAATGAAACGAGAAAAAAACAGTCTCCATAAAACAGTCATCATGCGAAATATATCAGTGCATGGGGTAGGAGGGCGGGGGAGGGGGACAGGGACAAGTGCCCTCGGCAAGACTCCAAGTAATGTGCAACCTTGCAAAAGAGTGTGTCCATAGAGGACTTAAAGCAGAAGGAAAACAAGTATTCGCAGGAAAGGTTATTTGATGAAAAACATCGTTCTTGGCAAGAACATGACTTGGAGTATAATGATCCGAGAGAGAGAGGAAGAGAATTGAGAACGACAATTAATGTTGAGTGACATGATGGTGCAACATGATAAGGCATTGTTCTATCAAAATGTGATGATCATTTTTTTAAAAGAGGTCTAACAATGAGTTCTAAAAATGAAAAAAAGACTCATGTAACCAAAATCAAATTACCCTGGCACGTGAATTTCGTTGGTTCTGTCTGAAAATATTGAAACCAATTCTTTCTCTTTTCGTTCCTCATTGTGTTATAATCTCTCGCTAGCTCTCTCTGCCTTTCTGTCTCCATGTTTCTCTGTTCGACTCTCTCTCTCTCTCTCTCTCTCTCTCTCTCTCTCTCTCTCTCTCTCTCTCTCATCTCTCTCTCTCTCTCTCTCTCTCATCTCTCTCTCTCTCTCTCTCTTTTTCTTTCTTTCTCTCTCTTTGTTCTTTCTCTCTCTCTCTCTCTCCCTCCCTCCCCCTCTCTCTCTCTCTCTCTTTCTTTCTCCCTCCCTCCCCTCTCTCTCACACTCTCTCTCTCTTTCTCTCTCTCTCTCTCCCTCTATCTCTCTCTATTTCCCTCTCTCTCTAACTCAAACAAATTTCGCATATGCATGTACATTAATAATTTGTAATTTCCTTCCAGCAACATTAAAAGAAAGAATAAAGGTTGAAATGGAGAAGATAAAACACATTTTGTTTGTGTGTATGAAGTCTTTATATCATAATGGTTTACTCCGGGGGTTTACTACCCTGCCCTCTACATCACCCCCCCCCCCCCACCACCACCACCACCACTTGGTAACAAGTTATTCGTAACCCTATATGATTCTGTCGACGCTTCCCAGGGACTATGGGCGTGTGGTTGCGGCTAACCCTAAACTAACCCTAACCCTATACCTAATCATATCCTCAATCCCAACCATGACCACTTAACCTTATAACACAAACACTTAGCACCTAACATATAACTACAACCTGAATCCTATATATCTTCGAAGAAACAAAAAGGCCAAGAAAAAAGCTGTTGTCGTTGGGAGTAGTACTTAGGCCAAGTAAATGATTACTAGTTTCTTATCCGGATTTTTCGTAAAATTAGGAGGAGGATGTTTCAGGTTATTTGATGTTTGATATGGTTTCTGTGCATATAAATACTAAAGGGGCAATTTCAACATGAATATTGCGAATTCAAATTTCAGTAGTGCCAGTGACTATACAGAGGATAAAACAAGGAGAAATTGCATTATATCACTTGTTGACCCATTTTCTAGTTTTCATCAGATTGTTATTTATGCCATTTCATTACAAAAATGATTGAGGACGTCCGAAAAGGGGACACCGGAGGAGACGAGAAACTAGACATTATTTTTATTTGGCCTTATGTCAGAGCATCCGTGGTGCGGCGAGATCAGTGTATCGTTTCACGAAAACGTCATAAGTACAAGTTCACCGTTGAAACGCGTGATAATTACAATACAATTTTTCAATGTGATGTCGTCGAACTTGTACTAATGACGGTCTCGTGAAACGTTGCACAGGTTTTACAACTCCTCAGTGGCGTATTTTGGACGTGAGGGGCGCTTGACCGTTTTGTAGTCGCCGTCCACTACAAGCTGGATGTCGCTGACCAGCTGAAGTGGTTCGACGACAGAGTCGTAGCGCTTGAAAGGGACGCCCTCTTTGTCGAGGAGAAACTTGTTAAAATTCCAGGTGACGTCACCGATGGTCATAGGCGACCAATACAGATTGGAAGGATCACCGATCTCCATTTTGACTGGTGGACAAGAGTTCTGAAAAGAGAAATTTGGTTTGAAAGTTGCAGAAGGAATATACAGAGGATAAAATACAAGATGACTCCATCCTTTGTTTTATTGGATTGGATGATTAAAAATATCGAGACAAAAAAAAACGAAGAAAACTTTTCGCAAACGTGAATTCATTAAAGGTGAATTAATCATAAAAGTTTTGTTTTTTTGTTTTTTGTTTTTTGTGACAGGAAAAAAAAGGATTGTTATCATAAAAGAAGAAACTTCATTTGAAGAAGAACAAAAAAAGGTTCATCAGTGGCAGACGTAGGGATGGGGGTTACCCCCCCCCCCCCCCATCAAATGAATGTTAAAAAACGGATAAGAGGCGTACAAAGACGATCATCAGTGCCGTATGATAGGGCTCCCTCTCACCGGCACCCTATTTCTAATAGGTTGCCTAGTTTTAATCATTTTCTTTCAACCAGTAAAACCTATGTTACCATGACAACGGCTGAACCACAGTACGTCCCTGGTGATCAGTATGAAAAATAAAATCAACCACAATACAAGGGATTCTCAATTCCAAGTGAAGTCGAGAAAATCAATGATAAATGAAAAGAAAATAAAAAACGTTTTTGTAAGGACAACTGTTTTCCTGTCATATCTAAGCGTTACCCAACTAAACAGTCATGTTTGTGGATTCGAAGAAGATTTTTTTTTTTTTTTTTTTTTAACCTTCGGTTTCTGGAAGAGCGGATATGCTTTTGGTCAGTTCACATCAATCCTTTCGTTACCCAACCAAACAGTCATGTTTGTGGATTCGAAGAAGATGATTGTCTTCTTTAATTATTTTTGTTTACCTTCAGTTTTTTGAAGAGCGGGTGAGCTTTAGGTCCGTTCACATCGATCTTCTCCTTGTTGAGATAGAAGTTGGGTTGGTATCCACCTCCTGGTCGCACGTACCGGAGGGTGTTAGGGATCTCCTGGCCCACCCCAGGTTCCTGGAGCCAAAACTGGTTGCAGGGGAAGCCCAAGATCGCTAGCTGATCACCGAACTGGTTCTAGAGGGTTAAGAGATATAATGGTAGCAGTTAGGAGGGTAGATAGGAGAAAAGAAGAAAGAGGGCGAGGGGCAGAGAGAGAGAGAGAGAGAGAGAGAGAGACGTACAGAGAGAGAGAGAGAGAGAGAGGGGGGGTGATATCTTACATCCTCCCCTAATCGATGTATGGCTCCTGTGCCGACCCCCCCCCCCCCCCACCCCAATGCTATACCACTGTAATGATTTCTGAATAACATTTGACTTACTTTTACACATTTCTATGAACCTTACATATTTTATTATCCATTGAATCACATTTGGTCCTACCCATTGCTCGGTTTGACTCACTCTCTGTCCCATCGAATCTTTACTACCCCCACCCCCCCCCCCATCTCTCTCTCTCTCTCTCTCTCTCTCTCTCTCTTTGTCGCTTTCCTACTTCCCTCCTTTTTCGCCATTTAATAGGGGCAGGGGGATATTACCCGTGCCTCCGTAGCTACTCCACTGATTTTAATTTCACATTCGTACCAAACATTATGGCCCGAATTCACAAAGCAAGGTTTGAGCTCAAACCTCCTTTTGTTTCGCCAAACCTCCTTTTGTTCTTTACAAACCAGGTTTGTAAAAAATGCGTAAAACGCGTCATATGACCTACGAAAACCAAGGTTTGTCGACAAACCTTCTTTGTGAATTCGGGCCTTTGTGGTCGTAAGCAGCAAAACCGACTGGTAGTATCCTTTATGGTAATAGGTATAGGTATTTCATAACCAATCACAATTTGCACTTTTCTTTGGGTTTATTCACTGGATATCATATCCCTATGTTATTACAATGACTGATTTCACATTTGGATAACAACTGTAAAACTATTCATAATAACAACGCTCACATAGTTTTAACAAAAAAAAAAAAGGATCTGATAATTTCCCGCCCCAATGAAAAAAATTTCCACAATCTTCTGAAACGTTGCCTGTTTCAAAAATATCCGACAAACAAGTTTTCATTTTCTCCGGGAGAGCATGTTTGGCAGAATAGATGAGAGGGGAGTGATTGCCCCTGCCCTCTCCATGTAACACCGTCCTGTAACATATCATGTAGAAAATAAATTGGTTGTACACGCTCTTATCACAAGTAAGCTTGATTATTGTAACGGGTTACTGTTTGGAATGCCTGATTCTCTGATAGCTAAGTTACAAAGAGTCCAAAATGCATGTGCAAGACTTGTCTATCGTCGGTCGAAATTCACTTCAACCGCACCTCTTCTGAGAGAACTCCACTGGTTGCCAGTCCGTCAAAGAATCTCATTCAAAATATTGTTAATTGTCTATAAATCATTGAGTGGTCAAGCCCCTAATTACAGCAAAGAATTACTTCAACTCAAAGTCCAATCACACAGTCGTAGCCTGCGCAGTTCCACAGATAAATTATTGTTTCAGATTCCCCATGGCAAAACTAAAGTAACTCTTGGGGACCGTGCTTTTGCTATTGCTGCCCCCAAACTATGGAATAGCTTGCCAATAGAAATAAGAAGCACTCCATCTCTCAATGTTTTTAAATCCAATTTAAAAACTTATTTGTTCAACTGAGTGATCTTATTTATTATAAAAAGGAGCTCTTAACCAGCGCAGCTGAATATATTTTGTATAAAAGCTGCGCTATATAAATTTATTATTATTATTATTATTATTATTATTAAAATATACCGACCATAAAAGCAAATTATAATTGAATCTTATTAATCCAGGCAGGGTAGCCATATCAGTGTAAATACTACTCTTCCTGCAGGTCCTGCATGCAATTATTATTTCTCAAGCAATTGCCAGGTACCCATTTCCACCTGGGTAGAGAGTAGCAAATGTGGATAAATTATTATTTTTTTGCCAATGAAAGTTAGCGCAAGCCTCGGATTCGAACCCCCAACCCTTGGACTAAGGTTCAAATGAAATGAATGAACCACTATAGCAAGACAGCAAGATCATGGCGATATTTGAATAAGAGTTCTGATAGACTATTCCAGTCCTCATAGACTTGGAAGTAAAACTGATTTTCCAGACGCAACGGAACCCCACAAACACGACTACAGACCGGTTTACTAACATATTCAAATTGTATGCATACTTTTTAGAAAATCTTTTTCTAGACAACCCCGGAAAGCTTGCCCGAGGCTTGCCCAACATAGCAACAAGTAATATGTGCAGACTGGATTCCAAGTATTGTAGTTCATTCATTGGTAACAGGTTACTGGAATAAACCGTCACTTGTTCCCCAGGAAAGAAACATCCATACATTTGAATATGTTAGAAAACCAGTTTATTGTGAGCATGTTTGACGATTAAGAAACAATAATATAACGGTTTACTTACAAATTCAAATTTATGGATGTTTATTTCATGTGGACCTAGTGACGAGTTCGAGTTCCTTAACCCGATATTAATGAATGAACTACAATACTTGGAATCCAGTATGTGTTGCAATGTCGGACAAGTCCCGGGCAAGCATTTAGGTTGTCAAGAACAAGATTTGTCTAAAAAGTATGGATACAATTTGAATATGTTAGTTAACCGGTTGATTGAAAGAGAAACATTAACGGTTGTTACCTTAAGTTCATTGAAATACGGGTACTGGTACGTGTAGGTGCAGAAGGAAGCTGTATTGACGACCAACACGACTTTGCCACGATAGTCGTCCAGGGATAGACTCTTTGTCATTGCGACATCGGACAGGGATTCGGCGTCATCGTAGCAAACAGCGTCGAGCATCGTCGCTCCCGAAAGACGAGAACATACAATGAGAGCGAAGAAAGCGAGAATTATTTTTTCATACGTAGCCATTTTGAAGAAAGAAAAACTACAACCGCGAATTCCAGTATTTTGCTTTGGTGCTTTTTGTAGTCAGGTGTAGAATGATTTGCTATTGCTTTGAATTTTTGTGAATAGCTTTGTTGTCTAGAAAATATCCTTTCGTAAAGGCCACAATGAATTTCCCAAGAGCAAGAAATTGAACGATTCAACGTTTGTATTCGTTAATGAAAGCTTGTTGTTTATTCCTCAGCAATTATAGACTCTGTATGCGGATGTGCGTTTACATCTTCCATGTCAATTTTACCATATGCAACTAAATTGTATATTCATATTATTGGGAGATTGTCTGTCACGCTTGAGTGATCACGAATCAACACCATACGGTACGGAAGACAGATAGTCTGCGTCTGTTAAAGGTATCACGTTACTGCTATCAAATTATCCCGTTACGGTAGCTGTAGGTCAATCCGGGATATATAGTGCGTATAAAAACGTGTACCCAACTTTGGTAGCTCTTAATTAACAAGAAAAAGCCAATATGACTTTGAAATTTATTTCATAATGAAGTGTAACTTGCTTTCCGTCCAATGATACCCTAATCATAATCTTTCTGCGACGGGTGACCGAGCACCAGGGTCTGTAAAAAGTGTTGTCAAAATCGCCTTGTACCGTATTTTGGCTGATGGAACGAATATGCATGTGCTTATTTGGTCATAAATCCGTTTAAAAGTTAAATTATACCTCGTGCTTCATATATTGCAATGTATCTAGCAGGGCTCAAATTAGATTTTTGTCCACGGGGCTCTTCCAAAAAAAAAAATAGCCCCCGTAAACCTTCTCACGGGGGCTCTTTTAGTGCTGACGGGGGCTCTTCTTTTAATACAAATTTCCATTGGATTGGTACCCATGAAACTCCTAAATTCCTTGGTATTTTATCATCATTTTTTTTAAGTCGGCATTCTCCCTCTTAGAAATTTACTTGTTACATAGCTGTATACTTTTATCCCCGTGATCAGTGGCGGATCCAAGCGGGGGGGGGGGGGGCGGGGGCCGCCCCGCCCCCCCCCCCCCCTGGGAAAAAAGAAGGGGGAAAAAAGGGGGAATTTTCTTCTTTCTTTTTTTTGAAAAAAGAAGTATTCCTTTCCCACTTGTATCACAGAGAAACAACAGTTTAAGTTAAGTCTAACGTTAACGTTAATTTGTTATTAAAATGTAGAGTACAGCCCTTGGCCTTAGGCCTAATTTAGGTCGTAACTGTTACTGTTTGAAAATCTAAAGTAAAATTAGATGGTTTTCATGGTTATACCAAGTGATTGAGAAAAAAAAGTTTACCCGTCACTGAGACCAGGTCAATCAATCTTCTAGATCCATTATTAGGGTCTAACGTTAGTAGATATAAGGTAGATGCAGGCACGGATCCAGCGGGGGTGAGTGGGCCTTGCCCCCCCCCCCCTTCCGCAAAAGAGAGAGAGAGAGAGAGAGAGAGAGAGAGAGAGAGAAGGAAAAGAGGGAAAGGGAAAGAGGAGCGAAAGGGAAAGGGGAAAGAGGAGAGAAAGGGAGAGGAAAGAAGAGGAAGAAGAAAAGAAAAGGGGGAAGAAGGAGATCGGGGGGGGGGGCGAAAGGGCCTTGCCTCCCAGGCTGTTGCCTCCCCCCCAATAAAACAAAATAAGAGAGAAGGAAGGAAGGAAATGGAAAGAAAAAAGGAAAAGAGGAGATAAAGGGAAGGAACATTGACGAAGAAGTAAAGAAAAGAAGGGGGATATCATGCAGTTGCAATTTTCCCGCCAACAAGTTGCGGATGGGGGTGGGGCAAAAGGCCTTTGCCTCCCTCGCCCCCGCTAAAAAAAAGAGAGAGAGAAGGAAGGAAAAGGAAAAAAGGAGAACTAAAAGGGACCAAAAAAGAAGAAAAAGAAAAAAAGGGTGAAAAGAATTTCGATGCGGTGTTCGAGTAGAATTCTGTGAGATGATGATATTCTTTTTCGTAGCTTGATGTGACGAAGTGTCTCTATCCAGATATCTGTTGATAGTATTATAGAATATAGAAGCCTGATATGACCTTCTGCTCGTAACCGACACGTCACCGCATTAAAATTAAATTGCAAATAGTGTTCAACAACACGATGGTGGATGAAACTTTCTAATATTCGAAGATACATGACCCTCAGACCATATTGTTTCATTATTTGTTATTCAATCAATCAAGGTCAAAGAAATGATTCATCATCGCACTTCAATTTATTATTTCACCTTTTAATGTACTTTCATTCTTATGCATCACGAAAGAACACTGAATTGGATTCTTCAATGTTTGTTTTGATTAATTTCCTCCCCTTTCCTTCTCCCTGTTTAATACTGATAAAATTTTCATTTTTTTTTTAATTAAGGCAAAATATTATTTTTTATATTTTCTTTATGCAAGACAGGGAGAGAGGGAGAGAGAGAGAGAGAGAGAATATTTTAAGTGAGAATTATCGAGTACAACTATGAATTGCATCCTTTTCAATATTATTCAATTCGCTGAAAATATTCAGAATAGGCCTATGAATATGATAAATCCACATAATACACCAACGCTGTTCAACGCATCCAACGCTCCAACCATAGCCCATATGCCAATGCACCATATTTATCAAATATGAAAAGATTTTTAAATGGAATTTGAAGAAAATTCAAACTTACAATGCACTGACAGGCATCAGTTGAAATCATGATTTCTCTGTGACTGGATTAGCACTAGTTTCTGAGGGACCAGTCACTGAAGAGGAGATAAAGGGAAGGAAAATTGAGGAAGAAGTAAAGAAAAGAAGGGGGATATCAGTTGCAATTTTCCCGCCCCCCCCCCTTGGAAAAAAAGGGGGGGGGGGGGAGGGGAAAGATTTTTTTTTCTGGGGAAAAAAAAGTGTTCCTTTGCCACTTGTATCACAGAGAAACAACAGTTTAAGTTAAGTCTAACGTTAACGTTAATTTATTATTAAAATGTAGAGTACAGCCCTTGGCCTTAGGCCTAATTTAGGTCGTAACTGTTACTGTTTGAAAATCTAAAGTAAAATTAGACGGTTTTCATGGTTAGACCAAGTAATTGAGAAAAAAAAAGTTTACCCGTCACTGAGACCAGGTCAATCAATCTTCTAGATCCATTATTAGGGTATAACGTTAGTAGATATAAGGTAGATGCAGGCGCGGATCCAGCGGGGGTGAGCGGGCCTTGCCCCCCTCCCTTCTCCAAAATAGAGAGAGAGAGAGAGAGAGAATGAAAAGAGGGAAAGGGAAAGAGGAGAGAAAGGGAAAGAAAGAAGAGGAAGAAGAAAAGAAAAGGGGGAAGAAGGAGATCGGGGGCGAAAGAGCCTTGCCTCCTAGGCTGTTGCCTTTCCCCAATAAAACAAAATAAGAGAGAAGGAAGGAAGGAAATGGAAAGAAAAAAGGAAAAGAGGAGATAAAGGGAAGGAAAATTGACGAAGAAGTAAAGAAAAGAAGGGGGATATCATGCAGTTGCAATTTTCCCGCCAACAAGTTGCGAATGGGGGTGGGGCAAAAGGCCTTTGCCTCCCTCACCCCCGCTAAAAAAAAGAGAGAGAGAAGGAAGGAAAAGGAAAAAAGGAGAACTAAAAGGGACCAAAAAAGAAGAAAAAGAAAATAAAAGGGTGAAAAGAATTTCGATGCGGTGTTCGAGTAGAATTCTGTGAGATGATGATATTCTTGTTCGTAGCTTGATGTGACGAAGTGTCTCTATCCAGATATCTGTTGATAGTATTATAGAATATAGAAGCCTGATATGACCTTCTGCTCGTAACCGACACGTCACCGCATTAAAATTAAATTGCAAATAGTGTTCAACAATACGATGGTGGATGAAACTTTCTAATATTCGAAGATATATGATCCTCAGACCATATTGTTTCATTATTTTTTATTCAATCAATCAAGGTCAAAGAATTGATTCATCATCGCTCTTCAATTTATTATTTCACCTTTTGATGTACTTTCATTCTTATGCATCACGAAAGAACACTGAATTGGATTCTGCAATGTTTGTTTTGATTAATTTCCTCCCCTTCTCTTCTCCCTGTATCAGGCATCAGTTGAAATCATGAATTCTCTGTGACTGGCTTAGCACTAGTTTCTGAGGGACCAGTCACTGAAGAGGAGATAAAGGGAAGGAAAATTGAGGAAGAAGTAAAGAAAAGAAGGGGGATATCAGTTGCAATTTTCCCGCCAACAAGTTGCGGATCGGGATGGGAGTGGGGCGAAAGGCTTTTGCCTCCCCCCGCCCCCGCTAAAAAAAAAAGAGAGAAGAAAAAAAAAGGGTGAAAAGAATTTCGATGCAGTGTTCGAGTAGAATTCTGTGAGATGATGATAATACTTTATCATAGCTTGATGTGACGAAGTGTCGCTATCCAGATATCTGTTGATAGTATTATAGAATATAGAAGCCTGAAATGACCTTCTGCTCGTAACCGACAAGTCACCGCATTAAATTTAAATTGCAAATAGTGTTCAACAACACGATGGTGGATGAAACTTTCTAATATTCGAAGATATATGACCCTCAAACCATATTGTTTCATTATTTGTTATTCAATCAATCTACGTCAAAGAATTGATTTATCATCGCACTTCAATTTATTATTTCACCTTTGGATGTACTTTCATTCTTATGCATCACGAAAGAACACTGAATTAGATTCTGCAATGTTTGTTTTGATTAATTTCCTCCCCTTCTCTTCTCCCTGTTTAATACTGATAACATTTTCAATTTCTCTTAATCAAGGCAAAATATTATTTTCATATTTTCTTTATGCAAGACAGGGAGAGAGAGAGAGAGAGAGAAAGAGAGAGAGAGAGAGAGAAAATATGTTAAGTGAGAATTATCAAGTACAACTATGAATTGCATCCTTTTCAATATTATTCAATTCGCTGAAAATATTCAGAATATGAATACGATAAATCCACATAATTCACCAACGCTGTTCAACGCATCCAACGCTCCAACCATAGCCCATATGCCAATGCACCATATTTATCAAATATGAAAAGATTTTTAAATGGAATTTGAAGAAAATTCAAATTTACAATGCACTGACAGGCATCAGTTGAAATCATGATTTCTCTGTGACTGGATTAGCACTAGTTTCTGAGGGACCAGTCACTGAAGAGGAGACAAAGGGAAGGAAAATTGAGGAAGAAGTAAAGAAAAGAAGGGGGATATCAGTTGCAATTTTCCCGCCAACAAGTTGCGGATCGGGATGGGAGTGGGGCGAAAGGCCTTTGCCTCCCCCCGCCCCCGCTAAAAAAAAAAGAGAGAAGAAAAAAAAAG